ATATGAATAGTATCTAATGGAAGAATTCTAACAGTACAGGCCTTTAAAATCCTAGAAAATCACCTTTATCACATCTATGAAATGGTATGTATTTTGTTTTGCATATGACATAAAAATATAAAAACGGAATAACTAGACAAACGATAACCAAATCACAATAAAAAGTCACATTACTCAAACAGACATTTTCTCAAAGATATAAAACAACAAGCACATGCTCAACATCCTTAGTTATGAGGAAAATACCTATGAGAATGAACTATTATTTGACACCTACTGGAATGACTCTAATAAAAAAAGGGTGGGGGTGCAAAATTACAAGAGTTGGCCAGGATGCTATATATGCTTTACTAGTGGGAATGTCGACTAGTATAGCCACTATAATAATTTGGAAATAAATTCCTCAAAAGGTTAGAGTGACAAAAGAAAAAAAACAATGAGCTTAAACCTACTCAGCAAAATATAAATTAACTACAAAAATCCTCAGTATTCTTATTTTCATATATTCAAAATCTACATCTAAAAATAGCTACCATATACTTTAATACTATGTTAAAACAGTTATGAGACTTTTTATAGTTCTAGCTACCCTAAAAAGAAAAGGGAAAAAAAAAAAAATCAAATACTCATCTTAAAAGACAGGTTTACACTAATCACTGTACTCAAATGGAAACAAACCCAATTCTTTTAGTAAGCTAACATGAAAATGCCAACATCTATTAAGCCTGTGCTATGACAAACAATGAATACAGGACCGACTTACCAAGCTTCTCTGGCTCATCAGGCCCCGTGCCTGCAATACAGCTGCTCTCTAGTCCGTAGGTGGGATCTACTTTCCCAGAGGCTCGTGCAGCGTCTTGCACTTTTTTGACATGAGCTTCAACCAATTCCAAAGGTACCTCCTCTCGGACCCGAGAAAACTCCTCTGATAAAAAAAAAAAAAAAAAGAGGGAATAGTGACCTGGTTTTGCACAAACATTTGCTGCAATGTAAGACCATTAGGAAATATGAAGCACCATTAGTGTTTTGCAGTGACCTCTGGGACTTGGTCTCTAGACCAGCAAAGCAAGAGAACCAAGTAATCATGCTGTTGTTCTTGTTATGTGTCATCGAGTCTACCCCTCCTTGGCTTTCTAAGGCAGTATCACTACGGAAGCAGACTGCCCAACCTTCCTTCCAAGGAGTGGCTGGTGGGTTTGAACTGCCAGCCTTCCAGTTAGCAGTCAAGTGCCTTTGGCACTATGCTACCTGAGTTCCTAAATAATTATATAATAATAAAAGTCTCTAACTCTAAGTTTTATCCTACATGTCACAATATCTTGCTCTATAAATAACAAAGATCTTCAAATTCCTACAGGTAACGATCAAAATTGTGTTCAAATTTTATCTAGCTATCTGCTGGCTAGGATGACAATCAAGAAAAATGGAAAGATTAAGCAACTGTGAAGCTAAGAAAATGTTCTGTAATTTAAGAAAGTTCTAGTTAAAATAAATATAATCAAGGAATATTAAACAACTTCCTTTGTTAGTTATGTAAAATATTAATCACAAAAGTATACTCTGAAAAACTTTTTGTGTCTCAAATTCTTACTCAATGCTCTTAATTATTCAACTATATATGCTTTATTTTAAAATGTTATACTATTTTTAAATTTAAATAGTACATGGTATCCTTAAGAGGCAATTTCTGAAATTTTCATTAATTATATAATAAAAGTTAATTTGAGAGCTAATAACATTTAAATGTGAGATAATTTTAATATGAAGAAGTAGTGCATTAAGCAACGATCTGAAGACATTTTTCTGCTAGAGCAATGGCTGAGGGAAGTCCATACCCAAAGCTGCTTTTGCTGCAGCAGATGCCACACGGGGGTCTACCACAGATGCCAAGAAAGCAACAGTGCTCATGACTGGGTTTCCTGACTGACTGAAGGGGACAGGCTGATAGGCTAGAGGACCAAGGGAAGCATCTGAATTCTCAAGGTATGGATCCTCAATAGGAAGCCTCAAAAAGTGGAGGATGCATTCATCCTGAGTACGACTTCCAACATGTTCTGACACTTTGTTCCAATCATCCTTATACATCTCCAGGGCCTAAAATGGAAGAAACAGGAGATTTAATGTTAGTTAACAAATAAATATTATAAGACATCAGAAGCCTGTGACTGTTCTTTAGATAGCTTTTCTTTCTTAAAAAAAAAAAAAAAAAAAAAAAAAACCCAGAGGGAACACTATTGCCGTCAAGTGGAATTTACCTCACAGCGATCCCTGTAAGACAGAGTAGAACTGCCTTATAGGATTTCCAAGGCTGTAAATCTTTAGGGAAATAGAAGGTCCCAGCTTTCTACCACAGAGTAGTTGAGGGTTCAACTGCTGACCTAACAGTTAGGAGTCAAGTACTTAACCGCTGCTCAACCAGGGCTCCCTTCAAAAATATTACAAAGGGTATTATTACATAACCAGAAAACAGGCAGGTTTGATGGCTTTCCTCATACTAAGTTCTCAATCAGGCAAGAGAAATAAGTAAAAGGCATCCACAGGAAAACTTAAAACTTTCATTTATACAGATAAAAACAAAAAACCAAACTCACTGCCACTGAGTCGATTCCAACTCAAAGCGAATGAACCCCTTTGGGTTTCTGAGGCAGTAAATATTTGTGGAAGTAGACTGTCCAGTCTTCCTTCCACAGATGCCTGGTGGGTTTGTTCCCCCAACCTTCTGGTTAGCAGTCAAATACCTTAGGCACTATACCACCAGAGCTCCTTTTTATATAGGTAAGATAGTTTATGTAGAAAATCCTAAAGAAGAAAGTAGTACCAAGAAAGGTACTACTAAAAAATTTAGCAAGGTCCTGAAACAGAAGGAAAATAGAAAAACTCAATTTTATTTCTATATATACTAGCAGTGAACAATTTTAAAAGAAAAAAAGTTACCTTTTATAATAGCATTAAAAAATGAAATACTAAGGAACAAATCTATCAAAGCATGTGTAGCATCAATGCTAGGAAAAAAAACACTGGTGAGAGAAACTAAAGACCTAAAGAAATGAAGAGAGATTCTGTGTTCACATATTAAAAGTCTCAATATTACGATGTCAGTTCTCTCCAAACTAAACTAACAATTTAATGAAATCCCAATCAAGATCTAAGCTGACTTCTGAAGAGACTGATAAGCTGATTCTAAAATTTACAAGTATATAAACTTCTAGTTTTAAAATTTGTAATTTTTCAGAGAAAATGCTGAAACACTCCAAAAGAAGAGAGTAAAAACAGTCTCCAAGGGGGAAAAGGGTAAAATGGTAGGAAGACGACCAGAAATGTGTGATGCTAAGCAACTGCAGGAATTAACTGGGTAAAAATAATCTGATGGCTTTCAAGTTGCTACTCTCCCACAGTTCCCTCTAAGGCAGTGGTTCCTCACCAGGGGCAATTCTGCCTCCTCAGGGACATTTGGCAATATCTGGTGACATTTTCAGCTGACACAACTAGGCACACAATTCTGGCACCCAGTAAGTTAAACATGTTACAATGCAACTAACAGCCACCCACAACAAAAGACAATCCAGGCCAAACGTCTGTAGAGTTGCAGTTGAAAAACCCTGCCCTAGAGCCTGATTTGCTGACCCACGCAGACACGGCATGCTATGGTGATGGTTCTCTATGTGCTTACATGCCTCACTGAATCCAGGGCTCCAACTGCTTCTGCAGGTTTTCATTCTCACAGAAGTGGGAGATTTCTCAAAATCCAAAACTATTGATGCTTGTACTCATTAAATTCCTTGAAAATGAAGCTGTTTACAAGTTTTCTCTGGACAGTCAAAAACCCTCACTGGCCTCGGATAGTTCTCTGGGCTGTCCTAACTTCCTGAGTATGGGTAGAAATTTCCTTGGTATGCTCTATAATAACCTCTTCAAATAAACTTATTAAAAGTTATTTTTCCTTTACTCCTATTTCTTCAGCCAGAGAAAAGAAGAAAGTTTAGGAAATTTTTTTCCAGAGTAAAGCTGGAATTGGGGAACCTTTTGAGATTAATAAAACCAAGCAAGCCAGCATCCAGAAAAGCGTATGTCTGAGAGAAAACAAAGATCTGAGTCTGGTAGCATAAGACCTGAGCCTTTTGTAATGGTAACACTATATTAAAGGGGAGATGGGAGAAACGTTTTCAAAACAGAGTATTATAAAACAACAACAAAAACAGACAGACAAACAAACAAACAAAAACAGAACATTGTGAGAAACTGCCCAGGAAGGAGAGGGTGACGGAGAAAATTATCAGTAGATATTCTATAATGTTATAACGCCTACATTCTTGTGGCCACAACCAAGGTTCAAGTATTCATCACTGTTTACTTGGATTCACAGAATCATCTCTATCAATAAATTCATCTCACTCCTTACTGACACACTGAAATATGCTTCACAGGAAACAGTTTCTCTTTGCCTGCCTAAAACTATTCCACTGGTCATCATTACCCTATGGAAGCCTTCTTTCATGCCATTCCCTCCCTTTTCAGACTCTAGAAATACACGGATCACACAATACTGTATTACTAGCTATTGGACCTATGTACAGTTTGTTCCATACTAGAAATATCTTCCCTTGCCTGGATCACTCCTCCTCATTCTTTAAGAACCAGCACAGCTACCTCATTCCCCCCCAAAACTGACCATCAGCCAGGTTAGACAGCAACTTCCCTGTACATGTCTTATACTCTCAGACATAACTCCAGCCCTGAAGGTGATGATCTCCATTCAAGTTTTGTGTTTTATCTGTCTCTATCACCTGCTAGACTATGAACTCCTCAGTGGTGGGGAATGTCGCTTACCCATCTCAATATTCAGTGCCTGATAAAGTCTGCCCAATAAAATTCGCTGAACTTAACCATACAGAACTGGACAAAAGCAGGAAAAGGAATTTGACTTTTCTGTGTCTTTCAAATGCATAAAGCACTCTGCAAAAAGGGCATGGGAGTGGCTTCTTCTGACCTCCTCTAGTTTCACAAGAGGGAGATAGAATCACCATCAACAGCCCAAGGGTTACTCCTATCAAGCCAGACATGCCGCCACTATCCAAACCTTTTCACCAACTCTGACACCAGCTGTTACTCCCATGGTGCTCCTTGTCTCCTGGGTTCAATAATTCGTTGCAGTGGACACAGAGAAATCAGAGACAATACTCATGATTATGGGGTTTTTAGGGAAGTAACAGGCTGCATACAATTCAGGTTCAGGAATGCTCTCAGCATACAATTCTTTGATCAGGACTCTCCCCCTCGCTATGTCCTCAGGCGTTCCTCTCTGGCCCTTGACTCCTTGGCCTGGCCTGGACCAAGACCTTGGTGCCCTAGACCAGTGTTACAAAGCTCTTTGAGCTCTGCCGACAGGTACACCTAGGTACATCACACTAGGCCAGTGAGGCTCCTGCCCAAAGGCACTCAGCTTTCTTGCTCTGTGGGCCGGCAAGCCTGCCACTCTGTCTCATGCCTCTTGGTTCCTCTGCCAGTCGTCTCTGTCACCTCTCTGCCAAGGAGATCCAGCACAGGAATCTTGCATCCAAGGACTCACCTTACTCCACCTCTTGTTCTTCTCTCTTGATGACAGTGAGATCCTCTTTCTGTCTCTAGGAAGGTTCATTTTAAGCCTGGCAGAATGACAAAACTAAGCAATCTCCACATGAGAGTGCCATATACCCTATTTGCATCGTCTTACCCAATAATCTAGTGGGAATCACAAAGACTGGTTAGAAAAGTCAAAAAAAGTAATTCATCACCCCACAGGCCCTAAACACACCTGTTTGCTATTTCTAAAGAAAAGGCATTTTCATCTAAAATGCCGTTCAGAGTTACAAAAGACAAAACATTTCCTGGGTTGCATACTGTGGGACAATGAGTTTCTCTTTTTACATGGCCATGGTTTTGTAACTCCCACAAAGTGATACTGTGGGACTATGCAAATAAGGTGCTGTGGCCCACACCAAGGTGAGTGATCAATTTTGTCAAACCATTATAACTAAAAAGAGCCAATTCCACAGCTTGAGGGTGGATCTCACCACCATCAAGAAGAGCTGGGAGCAAAGCACATCCTTTCGACCTGGGGTCCTTGTGCTGAGAACCTCCAAGACCCAGGACAGAGAGAGAGAGAAAGAGCAAGACAGTGCGAGCGAGCTGCAACACCAGAGACACCATTAGACAGCAGTTGTGTAAGATGGCTGCAGCGGGCTCACAGATCCACAGCATGAGACAGCTGAGAGTTTGTAGGCAAGGGACTTCCTGGCACACAGAGCTGTCCTCGAGTTCTTATTGGAGAGCTAAAGAATTGTTAAGACTTGCCCAAACAGAACAGAAGCCAGGCCTCAGCAAGCAGGGCTTAGCAGCAGAGGCCTGCGTGCAGGCACACCAGAGAAGAAGCTATCCTGATTAATGAACTGTATCCTGAGGTGTTCCTGTTACAGCCAAGTTTATGCTGATCCTGAACTGTAAACTGTTACTTTCCTAATAAATTCCTGTGAGCTCTGTGTAGGTATCAAACCTAGCAGAGAAGTAGAGTATGCCTTGGGAGGAATAGGTGGTGTCAGAATTGGTTTTAAAAAAATCCAGTATTTTGGAGGATGGAAGTGTGTTTGACTTCTACCTTCACAAGAATCGTATTTGTAATTCTCTTTTCTCCCTCTGAAGTTAGACAGGCCTGATGCTGGCATATTAACATGTATCAATGAAAAATATGTCAAATGCAGATGTTGTTGTTGTTATGTGCCGTCGAGTCGCACCCGACTCATAGTGACCCATCCTTGGGTTTCAGAGGCGGTATCACTACGGAAGTAGATCACCCAACCTTCCTTCCGAGGAGTGGCTGGTGGGTTTGAACCGCCAGGCTTCTGATTAGCAGTCAAGTGCCTTAGGCACTATGCTACCAGAGCTCCTAAATTCAGACATACTATAAGAAAATATTTGAAGCTGCTTAAAGATCTTCTAATATAATATTTCTGTAAATTAGACAGCATAAACACACTTAAGAAATTTTCCTAGTACTAAACAAACATTAATAGCACTCATTGGTTTTATTTGCAGACACAGGATATTACTACAATTAATTAAATAAGGGAAATTAAACACATGGGATGAAAAAGCAAAGTATGCATGATACAGACTTAGATCACAACAGATATGAGCATACCAATGTTCAAAGCAGTACTATTCACAATAGCTCAAAGTTGGAAACAACCTAAGTGTCCATCAGCAAACAAAGGCATAAACAAAATATAGCATATACATACCATGGAATATTATGCAACCATAAAAAGGAATGAAATTCTGATACTTGCTACAACATGGACCAACATTTAAAAACTTAAGTTAAATGAAGTAAGGCAGACACAAAAGGACAAATAATGTATGATTACACATCTTGATAGCATATTTTGTCAATTTTAGACTGTACAAGTTGGTAAATATCTTCCATTTTCTCATCTTTGGCTTTGGCGTTTGGTGTATGAATTGGAATAACAGTAGTATCAACTGGTCTTCTTTCGAGGCATATAGATATTATCCTATCACTGACACCACTGTACTTCCAGATAGATCTTGAAATATTCTTTGTGACAAATGCCACACCATCACTATGCCTCTTAGTCACTATGAAGTAAAGTGGTGCCAGGACTTCCTTCTTTCTGGTAACCTGATACTGTCAAAGCATTTGAAAGTACAGGAAGGATTGAGTTGCCCTTTGTGGATTCTAATACTGCTGACTCATTTTCAGGTTCAACATCTAAAACTCCACACACTGAGTGAAATCTTAGTCAAAAACAACTATCACCTTGAACTTAAACAACATATTTTTTGAAAGACAGCTAATATAGAACTGTACATTATTCTTCATTTCTACCAATTCAAAGATATTTTCAAACTGCATTCTTATATCCAATGCATAGATTCCATTTTGGTTATTTACAAAATTGAAATTATCCCTCCAATGTTTGAAATGTAAGTCTCTAAATAAAATAAGACAAAAATATTAACTTGTAGCAACCAACCCAAGAACTGTGGTTTGACAGAATCTTCATAACTTAGTCTCATGAAAAAATTAGAAGTATTTGGGATATTGTCTACATATACTGTATAATAAAATGCTATGATGCTTTTACGGAAAAAATAAAAACCCACAAATCTACCAGATTCATCAACTCATTAGGGGAAAACGAATTTTGTTTTCAGTAATGAATCCATTGTAATTTTTAATCTGACTTCATGCTCTTATTAATTACCACTAAAAACCTACATAAATAAAAGACATTAGTAGTAAACAATGACGTCAAGAAGCCTTTTATTTCTCTGTTTAAGTGTAGGTAACACCTGTTGATTCAACTACATTATTTAAAAGAAAACTCTACCACTGTGTAGATGCCACCTGCAGAAGAAAAAATATACTATTGTGAAAGGATATTGTGGTTTTCCTGGATATGTTGAGAGTAAACAGTAGCTCAAGTCATTCTTATGTCACTCTGTATTTACTATCCACTAATCTTAAATGTAAAAGAGGAAAAAAATCTTGACTATCAACGTGCAGTGAGAAAAAGCACCGACGGTGAGGCTGTTATTTCAGTAGATGTTATACAACTAAAATTTCTACCCAGAGCCTAAAGAGTCCAAAACAGCAACACAAAGGCATGTTATATGCCCCTGGAAGTGCTAAGCACACAATTCTTTTAAATTAACATCCATGTCACATTTGGTAAGACAAAACAGTCCCGGGGTGGGGGCATGGTAGGAAAAGCAGTTCAAAAAAGCAGCTCTCTGCATATCACTGATACAGAAAGGACAGATGGGAATAAATTAAAATACTGGTAAAAACTCCAATCAAGAGGCTTTTAAAAATTCTGAACGTAGGAGAGAAGAAAACACAAAAAACAATGAAAAGTATAAGAGGGGTATGAAAAAGAAAAAGGAACAGTTAATGCACTACTGAAAAACTTAAGGAACTGCAACTGTTGGGATGAGAGAAACCAATTATCAGCAATACCATCACATGATACTTCACCTGGTTCAGTGAACCTCAAGGTGTGGTCTGGAGGCCCACTAGGGACAAGACTCTTTTAGGGGGACTGTGAAGTCAGAGCTATCTTCTTAGTAATATTAAGACAGTATTGCCTTTTTCATTACGTTGACAGTTGTACTGATGGTGCAAAAGCAATGGTGGGCAAACTCCTGGCATTTTAGAACAAATCAAGACAGTGGCACCAAACTGTCCTAGGAATCACTGTATTCTTCATCTCCACAAACACAAAAACAAAAAGAGAAAAGCCAATTTCACTTAAAAAACTTCCTCAGTGAAGCTTTAACAATTATTCGTTTTATTAAGTCTAAAAAACTGAGCCCATGTCTCTTTAGTGTTATGTGCTATGAAATGGAGGGTACACACAAATACTTCTGGTAAATATCAAAGCAAGGCTACTTCAAGGAAAAGCATTTATACTAGTGACTTTCAAGTTCTACCAGCCATTTTTTTTTCCAACAGAGCACCATTTCACTAGAAAAATGGCTAACAAACCTTTGTTTTACACACACGAGTATCTGGGTACACACTTTCTTGAACATGGGTAAAAGTGAGCTTTTGGAAAACAACTGATCGGATTTGCTGACAATGATAAAATTTGAGTTTTTATATACGGACTGGGATTTTGGAAACCATGTATCTGCCATGAAAGTTTGTTCTAGCACTTTTAAAAAAATTATAAATCCATATAAGCTCTTTGAGGCTCTGAAAATAATTTTGAGAGTATAAATGAGTACTGAGACAAAAATGTGGACTGAGCCTAAACAGTTTTTTGTATTTGAATTCTGAATTGCAATTTATACATGATACATGGGTTTGGGTAAGATGGCGTACTCCAGTACAAGGAAGCTCTCTTTCTCCATGAATACAATGCTCTAATATTATAGTTGAAAGAGTCCAAATAGTTATTCCTTTCTAAGAAGGTAAAATATAAGTGGTACGCATGCTGTCAGTAAGTTACCGAACAGCCAACAGCACCTCTTGATTCCAGTATACCTACACTAGTGAAACTAGAGCATCACATATTTGTTTTCTCTGCATTACAGGCAGTAATGGGTTGTCATGAGACCCAGTATGTTCAATAAGAAATAAAGAGAAAACTTCTGAGGAGCTTTTGTAAAAGCTTTTCCTTTCAGAAAGATCCAGAAAAGCAAAGCTGCCTTTTCCAAATTTCCTCCTGTCTTGAATGGGGACATGAAGCCTGGAACTAAGCAGTAATCCTGTGACTAGAATGGAACAAACCAAGAGTGTAAGACATGGATAGCTAAGGAAGGTGAAACAAAACAATAGAAAAGCTGATGACAGGATTAAGCAGTTCCAGAGCCTCGAACTACCAAGCTAAAGACTTCTATGCTAGGTAAAGTATTCCTAACAAATAAAATAATTAACTTCTGCATCTATCCAGAAACAGTAAGTAATGTCGTGGAGTCTTCTATCTTTCCTATACAACTGTACTTCTATAACCAAAGACAAATCCTCCTTCTTCAGAAATGTTTGGAAATATAGAATCTAATGCTCTCCATTTCCTACCCTTTAGAATGGAAATAACTGCCAAGATGTGTTAAGTATTGGCAAGACGTGAGGAAACAAAAATAAGCGTTCAGTGAGTTGACTGAGATGCTACATACATCTTCATTAGTTTACCATAAACAAAAAATGTTTTCTATGGCACCTATCATCAGCTACTTCTCTGAAGTCCTTTTAGGAAATACGGAGGTTGTACACTCAAATTCATATTAGTAGTAAAATGATTAAACAGTGATAAATTAAGAAAAAACTGAAATCTGAAGACATGCCCTACTTCAAAGGGAAACTGATATTCACAGGCATCAACTTACTGCTATGTGGGAATGAGAGGCCAAAATTGCAAGCTCTTCCAAATTTGGGTGAGAAGTTACAAATCAAGAATACTATGTCAAAGTTCTAATATTTGTTTTAATGATGGTAACTGATCTAACAAACACAACAAAAATAACAAATAAACATGGACCAATAAAGAACATATTCAGGCTTAATCTCCTCTATTGATAATGTGTCCTCTTTTGTGTTAACACCTGGGAACAAATAACGCAAAAAAAATTCTATTAGAATTTATTATTAAGCGGATCAAAAACGTTCAGGATAAGTATTTCAAAAATTCTGTCAGCAGAATCTTACCACTTATGTGAAATGTAGATAAAAGGGCTCCACCAGTAATCTACATACCTCCAGAAGCAGAAGGGTCTCCTGTTCAGTCCACTCTCTTCCAGCACTAGCACCTTTACTCTAAAGCAATAAAATCAGAAATTATTCACTCAGCCTTAAAAGGCTAAAGAAAAAGCTCAGCCCAATTATGTTTTTAAGTTCAGCAGACTATTTTATGAAAACGACTAAGTTAAGTCCCTGAGTAGCAGATATAAAACACTTCAAGAACTTACACATGCAAGACAAAGACTGGTTTGTTGTAAACATCAAGGACTCATGAACTATCTGAATTTATTATTTCTAGTCTCTTCCTATTAGATATCATCTTTTATAAGCTACAAAGGCACAATGTTCAAATGTATACAACAAATCAGCTATGCTACAAACATAGTAAAATTTTGTTGTAATTTATAAAGAATGGTTTTTTCAAGATTCAACAACAAAATATACTACATTAAATGAGTTCTGCGCCATTTTAAAAAAATCATCTGTATCAGACCAATGGACAACAGTTACTCCAAGCATAGATGAGTAGTTTGGGAGGAAGTGAGACAAAGATAGTGAGAGTAAAACTAGAGTAGAAATAATGAGAGTGCTGACTCAATGTGAAGAATTTAACTAAGGTCACTGAAGATTCTGTGTAGAAATTGTTGAATGGGAACATGTTTTGCTGTGTATACTCTGACTAAAAATACAGTAACATATTAAAAACAATAGCAGAAGCAACAGAAAAAAACATGTTCTAACATAATGTTCCTTTTTGCACAAACACTATTTTGGGAGACAACAATTTTAACTAGTGAAGAGAAAACTTTTACACTCTGTGATTTCCTTGTTTGTGCATAAAAACTTTTCAGTTTAGATGACTCTACCTTATTATAAACATATGATACACACTGTAGCTAAAAAAAATTAAACTAGATCTTTGTTTTGTCTCTGTGACGTTCAACCCATTTCATTCTGAAATAAATATACGTTCATTTTCAACAAATGAACTAAAAAATTAATCATTTAACCAGAAAATAAAAAGAGGAATCTGAGCATTATCGAGTTACTTCTAAAGCATGATTTCATGAGAAAGAAGATATACCTAGATTTAACTCATAATATATTGCTCAAAACCCTCGAGAATTACTTGAAAAACCAAAGATTCTTCTTTAATGAACCAGTATCAGGTGACAATGGGATGTGAAGCTCTAAGAGGAACAAAATTCACCAGCATTTCATTTAAATTCTGAAGCCAGATCCAAACCCAAGGAAGATTTGTACAAGCCCAGACACAGATGGCAATTATTAGAGATAGTTTATCAACAGCCATGTCCCCATTCTGGGCTCAGAATGGTGGGAAGGATTTTCTCCCTTCCCACTAGCTCAGGGAAGGCAATATAAATTTTTTCTTTTCAAAGAACCATCTCTTTTTACTTCACTGATTTTCTGTGTTTTTCACTGATTCCCTACTTACCTTTATTCTTCCTTCTGCTTACTTTTGAGTTTAATTTGTTCTTTTACTAGTCTACTGAAGCAGAAGTTAAGATTGTTGACTTTGTAATGACTTTCATTTCTAATATAATTATTTCATGCTACCAATTTTCAAAGCATGGATTTAGCTGTGCTCTAGCTATATTTATACTCTGTGCTTTCATTCGCTTTCAATTCAAAATGTTTTAACTGCACCTGATATTTATTCTTCTTTGAACCCTAGATTATTCAGAAGTTCAATTTCCAAATATTTATTTTTCCAGTTATATCCATATTATTGGTTTACAGTTTAATTTTTTTTTTATGATCAAGAGTGTGCTTTCTAAAAAAAACCAAACTCAATGCCATCGAGTCGTTTCCAACTCATAGTAATCCCTCCTTGGGCTTCCAGGGCGCTATCTCTACAGAATTATATTGCCCAGTTTTCCTTCCAAGGAGTGGCTGGTGGGTTTGAACCGCCAGCCTTCTAGTTAGCAGTCAAATGCCTTAGGCACTACACCACCAGAGCTCCCTCAATGATCTTATCCTTATGATTTTAATCCTTTCAAATTAACTGAGATTCAGAAATTATCACTCAGAATTGGTTCTACTTTGGAGAACGTATCCTGTACACATGAAAACAGCATGTTTTCTACTGTTTTGCATAGACTCCTCTATAAATACCAAATAGATCACAATGGCAGACAGTGTTGTTCCAAGTCTTTTAAATCCTTACTGATTTTCTGTTTGTTCTATCAAATACTGAGAAAGGTTAATTAAAATCTCCAATTTAAATTGTGTTTGGTTTATTTCTCCTTTCAGCTCAACCAGTTTTTGCTTTAAGTGTTTTGAAGCTCTTTAATTAGGTACATACACACATTAAGAATTGTTATGTCTTTTTGATTAAATTATTTCTTGGACCATTATGGAGGAGCTCTAGTGGTGCTGTGATTAAAGCACTGGGCAGCTAACCAAAAGGTTGGCGGTTTAAACCCACCAGCCACCCCATGGGAGAAAGATGAGGCAGTCTGCTTCTATAAAGATTTATAGCCTAGGAAACCCTAAGGGTCAGTTCTACCCTGTCCTATAGGGTCACTATCAGTTGGAAACAACTCAATGGCAGTGGGTTTGGTTTTTGGTATACCATTATGGAACGTCTTTTTATTCTAGTTTAACAATTTGTTTAGATGCCTACATTTGCCATTATTAATAACAGTGACTCTGTCTTTGGATTAGTATTTGCATGGTGTATCTTTTTCCAGTCTTTTACATTTAAGCTGTGTCTTTATATTCAAAGTAGGTTCTTTGAAGATACCATATACTTGTCCTTAGTTTTTTATTCCATTTGATAATCTCTGGTGCTTAAATGGAACTCTGATGATGAACTAATTAAAGCATTCAGCTGTTTAACCAAAAGTTTGGTGGTTTGAAACCACCACCTTCTCTGTGGAAAAAAGATGAGGCAGTCTGCTTCTGTGGACATTCACAACTTTGGAAACCCCACTGGGCAGTTCTACTCTGTCCTATAGAGTCACTATGAGCCAAGAGGGACTGGGTAGCAATGGGTTTGATTTGGTTTGGATGCCTGAATGAAGTATTTAGACCACTTATATTTAATGTTACTATCATTATGTTCTTGTTAGGTGCCATCAAGGCAGCTCCAAAATCAAAGTGACCCTATGTACAACAGAATGAAACACAGCCTGGGCATGCACCATCCTCATAATCCCTGCTATACTTCAGCCCCTTTGTTGCACCTATTGTGTCAATCCATCTGTTGAGGGTCTTCCCCTTTTTTGCTGACCCTCTACTTTATCAAACATGATACCCTTCTCTAGGGAATGGTTCCCTCTGACAACATGACCAAAGTAGGTGAGACAAAGTCTGGCCATTCCTGCTTCTAAGAACCACTTCAGCTGCACTTCTTCCAGGACAGATTTGTTCGTTTTACTGGCAGTCTCTGGTATTTTCAGTATTCTTTGCCAACACCATAATTCAATTTTATCGCTCTTCTTCAATCTTCCTTATTAACTGGGCAGGTTTCACAAGCATATAAGGCTACTGAAAATACCATGGCTTGGGCCAAGCACACCTTAGTCTTCAAAGTGGTATCTTTACTCCTTAACACTTTCAAGAGGTCTTTTGCAGCAGATATGCCCAATGCAATATGATGTCTGATTTCTTGACTGCTGTTTCCACGAGTATTGATTGTGGATCCAAGGAAAATGAAATACCCAACAACTTCAATCTTTCCTGTTTATCCTGATGTTGCTTACTGGTCTAGTTGTGAGGATTCCTGCTGTCTTTCTGTTGAGGTGTAATTCATATTGTCTTCTTTGATCTTCATCAGTAAAAGCTTCAACTCCTCTTCACTTTAAACAAGCAAGGTTTTGTCATTTGCATATCACAGGGTGCTAATGAGCCTTTCTCCCATCCTGATACCTTGTTTTTCTCCATATAGTTCAGTTTCTTGAATCATTTGCTCAGCATATCACCACTATGGTCTGCTGTAAGTCTACTATTTTGCTTTTAGTTCCCACTTTCACAATCTCTTTATTGTTTCTTATTTCCAACTCTTCTTCCTCCCTTTGCTTTTCTTCCTGTTCCTTTCCCCAACACCCAACCTTTTAAAAAAAATCATTCTATTATTGGCTTATTGGTCATACCTCTTTTTAGAAATAATTGCTCTAAGATTTACATACTCTTCTCTAACTTGTATTAGTTAATCTTTAAAGAATATTTCACCTTTAAGAATTCTAATTATACTTTCATTTCTACCTCTTATTCTTTGAACTAAAAGTGCTGGTGGCACAGAGAATAAAAGCATTTATTTGGCTGCTGAACAGATCATTGGCAGTTCACACACCAGCTGCTCCACAGGAGGAAGATCAAGCAATCTACTTCCATAAAGATTTCCAGTCCTGGAAACTCTACCTGGATCATTATGAGTTGGAATTGACACAATGGAAATGGGTTTGTTTTGGTTTATTCTTTGAGCTACTTTTGGTCATTAACATCTACATGCTATAAAGATATACTGTTACTATTTTTACTTTAAGTAATCCATTATCCTTTTGAAATTAGGGGAAAATGTCTTTTACACTAATCCACATGCAGACCATTTCTGGTACTCTTTATTCTTTTATGTTAACTCCAGTACTCTGCTCTTATGCTCAGTAAAATTATCAAAGTCTATCGGTAGCGTAGTGCCTAAGGCACTTGACTGCTAAACAGAAGGCTGGCGGTTCAAACTCACCAGCCACTCCTCGGAAGGAAGGTTGGTCAATCTACTTCCGTAGTGATACTGCCTTGGAAACCCAAGGAGGGGGCGCTATGAGTCAGGTCTGATTCTATGGCACATAACAACAACATCATCTAGAACTGGTATTTTTATAACTTCTAAATAATGACAGAATTTGTAACAGTGTAAGATAATTTAGCCTCCTCTTTGTGCTGCTTTTGTCATTTCTATGTGTTAAGCACCCCCATGTGACTATTTTTGTTTAAGTAGTCAATATTCCTTTATATTTAAGCAAATAGCCTTTCCCAACCTCTTGGTTTCTCCTTGTAGACGCGTACTTCCAGTACAATAATTTCTCTTCATCTTTTAGTTTTCGTATAGTGTGTGCTAGCAATGAGTTCTCTCATTTTTTTGTACAAAAAGTGATTTTCCTTTTTATTGGAAGGTACACTTTTAAACTGCACCTTCAATTTTAAAAGGTATTTCCATGGGATATAGAATTACAGTGTGGCCATTTTTTCTTTCAGTACCTTGAAGATATTATCTTATTGTCCTCTGGCTTCTATCATTTCCGCTGAAGTCACCCATCAGTTTTATTATTGGTCCTTTTGATTTAATGTATCCTCCCTCCCCCACCAACCCACCCACTCCCTTTGGCTGCTTTTAGCAGTTTAAGCATAATGTGTCTGGGTGTGGTTTTCTCTTTATCCAAATTTGGATCTGCTCAGCCTCTTATTTTATGAGTTGGTATCTTTTTATGAGTTTTGGAAAAATTTCAGCTTTCTGACTTTAAAATATCACTATTTTTCTTCCTATGAGGCTCTAATTATAAACATTGATTCTTTTAAATGTATTTCATGTGTCTCTATTCTCTTTGTCCTCTCCCTTGCCTCTAATTTCTTTTTCTCTAGATACTTAAGTTTCAAAATATCTACTAACCTTCCTCTGTGTTCACTAATCTTGTATTCTGCTGTGTTCAGTCTGTTAAGACTACTCAATGAGTTGACTTCAGATATATTTTTTAGCTCGGGAATATTTCTTTGATTCTTTTATACATTTCAATTAATTCTCTACTGACATCCCCTACTTCTTCCTCTATTGTCTTTAATATGTTAACCAGTTATTTTAAAGTACCTAGCTACTACTCATATTGGAGAAAAAGGTAAGATGAAAGAATGCCTTAGGCATTGTGCCACCAGAGCTCTTTAAAGAACAGAAACAAAGATTAACATAGTCCGTGTGAGTTCAGGGAAAAACCTTTACCTTTGCTAAGGTTTTCTTAGAATAAATGTCAGTACGAAGACCAAAGTTCTGCAAATCAATTGGTTTTTCCTTGTTCTTCTCGGGAAAATTTAACATCTGCTGGGCAGCAGGGATCTATGAGTCAGGGAAATGATAAATGGCTTTATCAACCTCCACTAAGTCAAGAGGACAGAAATATTTAATAAATTATTTAATACAGGCACTTAAAACATTTCTGCACTATTACACAAAACATAAATAAACCTCTATGCCACACTTCTAATAAAAATTAAACATGTAAGAAACATTCTTTGTGCCTCACCAGGTCAGAGTGAAGACAAACAACAAATTTTCTTTAATGTAATTTTCTATTCCACAGTGGGGACAATTTATAACTTAGGTTTGCATTATCTTCATTTATATACACCATCTATTGGACATAACAACCTTTCTCAAAAACGTAGTTATGGACATCCTCTTCCCAAATATCAGGTTAAGTTGTAAACTTTTTATATCTATTTATAGGATATAGATTAAAGGAATGAAATACACATGAATGTTTTTGTGTAATCCGCTTTTAAGTAATGTCTTATTATGATACAAAGATAAAGGGAGGTATGAGTATGACAGTAAATCTATCATTTTGATAGTCTAAGGCACAGAATCTTGTAGAGGCACAAGACATTACTCTAACCCCTAAATCTTACAGATGCAAACATTTACTATAGATGGAAAAAAAATAAAAGAGAATCAGCTAAGAAACAGTATGTCCACTGCATTACAGTAACAACTATTCCTGAAGAGGAATACTAGAAACAGTTTTCTGTTACCATCGAGGTCGAAGAAAATGAAGCAGTAATTTACCTGAGGTGATCGAAGGTGAAGAGGCACAAGCCCAGAGGGGGTATCAGCTAATACATTGAAATGAGGAGTAGGAGGAGGTCCCATTGCCATAGGTCGACTTTCAGGATCTACTTGGTAATTAACAAGCCCCCATTGCTCTAAAAAAGCATGGACCCTAAGTAATAAAGTTCTGAAAGTTAAAGTCCAGGGAATTTATTTCATTTCCTCCACAATCATCTCATTACATTAAAAACAAAACAAAAACAAAATTAAACGTATACCTGTGTAGGCTGGAAAGCACAAATTACCAGACAATTTTGGTTTTCAGTATGAGGGATACTTTCTACCAATTCAGTATAATGTTCCTAATACAGCACCCCAAACCAGAGTAATAAAAGCCTAATAGCTTCAATCAAAGTAATGAAAAGAATAAATTCTAATTTACATTCATGGTGAAAGAACCCACCAATAAACCAATCTCACTAAAAAAGATCCATTATTTTGGTTGTTTTCATAAGACAAATGTAAAGCACAGAGCTCATTCATCTCTTGTCTCAACCCACCCTTAATCTTTGATCATTTTATAATGTGACTACATAATAAAAGATGTATAGAAAAATCTAAAATAGCGGAGAAAATGCTAAGGGAGTCAAAATATTCAACCCCTAAAAGAAAGACGTTAGATTTAGGTGTTTGATTCAAGTGGATGTGTTCTTGATTAATAAATTAGATATTAGATGACAATGCATCAAAAACCACCCAGAGTGAAATGTCTAACAAGAAGCCAAACATGTTACCTCATCACAGCACAGACATCACCAGTCAAGTTCCTCCGACAAGCAGTGCTGGTTAAATACTCTTGAGGGTTCAGACGATAGGTATCGATCATGAAATTTCGATATGCCAGGTATCTAAAGAACAATAACAAAAATCACAAAGTGAATACAACATCCATTCAAAAGAATAAATCAGTGAGTCAAATATCCTCAAATTCTTCAAAACCAAATACAATAAAAAAATTAAGACAACAGTTCAACAAAGATCAGTGATACTGTACTGAGTATTTGTAATCCTAAGTGAAACTGAGGGTAAGAATCTACACATCCCAAAAAAATAAAGAAAGAAAGAAACCTGAACTTGTGTACAAATGTTTGATAACCATAAATAAAACAGAGCAATCTGATGAACTTTAATGTGAAGTATTATAACTAAAAACCTGATTCTGAAGGACAATGGATAATCCTTGGTTGCCCACGGAATTTGCAACTATCAAATGGTTAGTTAGACTGTCTCCCCAATTACCACATATCTAACATTTATTGTTTGCCAAGCACTCTTTAAGGAAACTCCCATGTAGAGTCAATTTAATCGTCAGAAATCCCTCTATGAGGTAGGGTATATTATCATTCCATTTATGGACAAGGAAACTAAAGCGAAGAGTAAAGATTTTGCCTGAGACCAAAGGCAGCTCTGGAATCCATACTTCGACCCCTACTCTATCACATTTCTACACTCTTCCTAGAGCCACACAAGGATTTGACTCTGATAGTAGATACATCTTTTGGCTGGCAGTTTTTTCGCAAGGTTCCAGTTGAGCAATGAGTAGAACCCATGAGGCTGAATTCACACATAGAACAGGAACATATTAAAAAAAGTAGGTAAAATGTGAGACAGTTACAGATTCCACAAAGTACCAAAGCACTTCTGTCACAAAACATTAAAACAAGAATATGAAGGAGCTTGAGACCTAGGAATAGTTCCTGGCACACAACAGAAACATAAATTTGGCCGCTTTAAGGTCAGCTATGTTAGTGTAGAAAAATTATACTGCTCAAACAGACCCATGTATTAAAAGCACAGGTATATAAACAAAGATGATGGAAAGGTGAGTTTGCAAAGTAAAATGACCTAAAATGCTATGCTGTGATTTTAAAGAGAAGACTGTGCTATAACTATAAGGATTTCCAAATATTTCCAATACGCAAATTGGCTGGAAAAACATATCAGTGTCAAAACAGGAGGAAAAGATATCAGGGCTTATGTGCAATCTTGTACTCCAGTTTTAAATGACTCATTACAGCTACATTACAGGAAGACTGAATTTATCTTTGACATTTAAACTTAGAACTTCAGACTTTCACAGACAAATTAACATCAGAAAATATTTACTATTCAGTCCATTGTTTTATGTGGACAATTACAGAAGTTAGTCCTTGACTAATAGTTTAAACAGGAAATAGATATTTGCGGAGTCAGAGGTCTACAACAGACAACAGACTAATACTATGGAGATAATATCTGGAAGGGTATTTACTGTGTAATACATGTGGATTTATTTTAGAGGCAATGGTAGAAGCTCTGGTAGCGCAGTGTTGGGCAATCTACTTCTGTAGTGATACTGCCTTGGAAATCCAAGGAGGGGTTGCTATGAGTTGGATCCAACCCCATGGTACTGTGTTTCGTTTTTGTTTTTGGTTTCTAGAAGTGTGTATTAACAGGGTCACCAGGACCAGAAGAGAAGCCATGGCAACAATACTTCCTGGTAAACTTATCCTTCCACATAAATATTTTTCTATTTCCAAAGCAAGCAAATTACAATGCATTCTGCGTTAGCATTAATTTATATGCAACTACATCATCATATCTAGTCATTAACCAGGAAGACATGATAATAATTTCATTTTATCCTTGATTTTTATAAATGTATATGATCCATAACACATATATACACAAAATTTAGAAAGACTTAAGAGAAACCTGAACATATTTTAGTGAATACCAGTCACTGAATTGCAATTGCTAACATGCATGCAGTTCAAGGTTTAAGAAGAGGAAAACAGAAACACTATCCTTTGAAGCAAAGAAGTCTGTACAGCTGAGATAGAAATACTTTTATTTTTTTAATTTTTATTGTGATTTGGATGAAAGTTTACAAAGCAAATTCATCTTCCATACAGCAATTCACATACATTTCTGTCTCGACATTAACTGCACTCTCCCACAATGGAATAGCCTCCCTCTCCCTTCCTGCCTATAGCCACCTCTTCCCATGCACTCCTGGCCCCCGAGATGTCTCCCTATGCATACAGCCCTTTTATTCTCCCATGATTAATCTCTCCAGGGAGTATATCTACCTATTGTAAATGTTCAGCTCATATGCCTGTCTTTGTTTGGCTGGAAGCCATAGGAGTGGGTTCAATTCCAGACCTTAACGGCAGCTAAGGGCCATAGTCTCAGTGGTTCCAACAGACTCTATCAGACCAGCAAACCTGGTTCCCCCCCCCTTTTTTTTTTTGAATGATTTTGAGTTTTGTTCCACATTGTTCTCCCACTCTATTCAGGATCCCCTACATAGATCACCCTCCGAGTGGTTGACAATGGCAGCCAGGCACCATGTAGTTCTTCTGGTCTCATAGTTGTGTAGGCTGAGAATCTCATGGTGTACCAATCTCTTGGATTAATTGTGTCCATGCATCTTTGATTTTCTCCATTCTTCTTTGCTCTGGACGAGGAAGGACCCATTGGTGCATGTAGAAGCCGGCTGTAAGCTTTTAAGATCCCAGATGTTCCTTGTCAAAGTAGGATGTGGAACAACGTTTTTGTGTAGTACACTAAGCCAACTGAACTTGTTGTTTCCTGTGACCATGGTCCTGAGCCACAGGTCCAACTACTTGCTTCCTCCAGGTACCTGGCTATGGCCAAGAAGTGATTATAACCTTGTCCCTTGACAGCTCTACTATATATATGGAAATTCCTACAGAACATACAAATACACTTGTAGAAACATTGTCTCCCAACCCCATACACTGTCATGGGCACATGGCCCCCTGCATAGACATACCTAATCGTTCAGTGTGTCCACCCATCTAACCACCCGTAGATCAATGTTTGCCATCACTGACAATGCAGTACTGTATACGCAAAAGGGTTCATCTTTGTTGCTTGTACCTTGAGATATGAACACTATTTTCACTGGAATAAGATATCTGCAAATTTCTAAGAAGTGTACTTTTCTAAGAAGTGTAACTCAGAAGTATACTTTAAGAGCCCCTTATCACATATACACATACACAGAAATAAGTAATTTTTCTAACACTAGTGGTGTAGTGCCCATGGCATCTGACTGCTAACCACAAGGCCAGCAGTTCAAATTCATCAGCCACTCCTCAGAAGGAAGACTGGGCAATCTACTTCCATAGAGATACTGCCTCAGAAACCCGAAGAGAGGTTTCTATAAGTCGGAACAGACTCAACAGCAGTTGAGTTTGGCTTGGTTTTAGAGTCTCACTGAAGTATGTAATGATATTACATCTCTACAGTTCACTCACATTTCTGGAGTCTTGGATTTGTTTTTTCCATTGAAAAACTCAGGAAGAGCACGTCGTTCAATCACGTGAATACTGAAAACAAAACAAAAGAAAGAGGATTGGCAGTCTTCATGAAAAAAGATGATCTTATAACTTGAACTGAGATCTTTTAATATTCAAAGTAAAACTGATAAAACACTGGGCATTGCTTGTCAAAATTAACTGGCTTGCACTAACTCCTATTTATTAACAACAAATAAGTTACAGAAACCAAGCTTTCCCTTTCTCATCTCCAGCAGTTATCATAGGTTTTCTATGCCCATAACAAACCTTTATTACTCTCTTATCATAACTGATCACAATTAGATGATGAGTCACAGGATAAGAAGACTTCTTTGGATCTTGGCTGACAAAAATCAAAATAGGATGGCAGGACAACAAACTGATGAAATAATAAATAGTTAGCCAAAAGACAACAGAATTTACAATAATCAGTTTCTCAGGCTCCTAACATCAATTTGCATTTCTCCAGCCCTTACATACTTTGTAGTGAATTATTCCATTTTTTAAAATGTAAGTGACCTACTGCTTTTATTAAATCATATTGCTTGTATGAACTGCTGTATGGAAAATGAATTTGCCCTGTAAACTTTCACCGAAATCACAATAAAAATTTAAACAATAACAAAAAAAGTAATTTTTAACATTTTTAGAAAAAAGTGGTAATGTTGTAAAATGTTGCTTGTCATAAGACACATATAATATACATGCTGGGAGCTCTGGTAGCATAGTGGCTAAGACACTTGCCTGCTAACCAGACGGCTGGCGGTTCAAACCCACCAGCCACTCCTCAGAAGGAAGGTTGGGCAATCCTACTTCCGTAGTGATACTGCCTCGGAAACCCAAGGAGGGGTCGCTATGAGTCAGGGCCGACTCGATGGCACATAACAACAAAAACAACAACAATATACATGTTCATGTTTTATTATTGTTATCTATTTTTAAAAAGAATGATAATGTACAAATATTGAGAGCAGGTAAAACACCAAGATTTTAAGTAATGGCAATGTCACTGGAATAAGGATACAAACTTTCAATAAAATTACTTTAGAGATGCTAACAGTTACTGGGAGGGGTAAGTTCTAGAACATGTATTTCAAACTCAAAAACAAACAAAAATCAAGCTACTCCTAAACAGTCCCACCTCCTAATAATTGAAAAACAAGCTACCCAGGACCCCAATTATTTCCAACCATGCTCTGCGGATGTTACAGGGCTTTGTGTATAGCAGAGGGATGTCGAGCAGGCCAGTATTCTTGAACGCTTTGACAAACTAGGGCTTAAATCTGAAAAGCATTCTAATGTTAAAATGTTTCCTATTAAAATGTGGCTATTTATGGGTCCTGAGATCTATTTTTGCTATATATATTTCTTTAATATTGAAAAATCACATAATGAACATCAATGTTAGCAATTATTCAATATTCTAGTATTTTCTGTCTGAATTATAACTGGTACAGAATGAGTTATATTTAAACCTGTAAAATTTTATAATCCCAAATTACTACACAATCTAATTTCCAATCCTAGTCTATTTAAAAAAAATACATCCAAACATAAACATTTCACATCACCCTTTAATCTGCGTAACAGTGATTACTGACGTAGTGACTTGGGCAGAAAGGCAGAACATGTTGCTACCAAGGAAAGTTTTTCCACTCCTAAGATGTGAACAGTCTACTCACCAGTTATAATCAAACCATGATGCATAGCTTGGAATAATAATGTGATTGGTCTGCTCTGTTACGTTATCTTCACTAGGGTCAACTGACCGACTCTGATCACCTTTGCTAGGATCTTCATCTTCCTGTAGAAAAGAAGCCAAAGTTGACACAAAGAAAACCACAAAAAGATACACAATAGTACTGTTTATATGATTTATGGAGGTTTTGCAAATGTATATAACTGTCTCAGTCTTTACAGATTTTAGTCTCCAATCCAGAATCTGATCACAGATTGCAGACTGAATATGCTATTCGTTGTCTCTTTAGTTTCCTTTAATATTTCCTCTTTTTGTGGGGTGTGGAGGTGGGGGGCATTCTATGACATTATAACTTTTTGAAGAATCTAGACTGCTGTCTTTAAAATTTCCAACAATCTGACTAATACTTCATAATTAACTTCAAGCTTAATACTATAGCAAAGACATTTGTTGACATTCAGAGGTTTTTGGAATCTATGCACTTAAATCTATCAAGTTTTGATCTGTAATGTTATGAAATTCTTATCTATTAAGAAACCAGGCAAATTTTTTATTACTGATTATAACTGCTCCATAGTTTAATTTCTACCTTTCACTTAATTCAAACTAAATTCAAACTAAATATGCTACATTATTTGAGGTGAGGCTGCAATGCTATTGCCTAGAAACTTAAGAGAGTAGTTTTCTTTTCTTAAGATGAATGAATACATAACAAACTTAAAAGAATAAAAGCACCAAGGAACCACTAATTGTTACTAAAATAATACTGAAACAAATAAGGTAATATTGATAACAAACGTAACAAATCCTATTTCCCAGATTAGAGAACATACCAAAAATGATGTTCAATATATATGGTTTGGTCAATGTGTTTCTGAGGTATACCAAAAAAAAAAAAAACCTACTGCCACTGAGTCCATTTCAACTCATATGCTTTACACAAATTCAATTATGATTCAAGATGCCCTTTATTCAGGAAAACCAGAGGTAGAATGACACTGCAAGTAATAAAGGCCAATAATCTTAAGATTTAGTTATCACAATAGGAAAAAAAACTATAAAATGACATTGTGGGACAGGGTAGAGTGTCAAATACTTCTAACCCTTTTAAATTATGTAACAGACTTCCATGACTTCGAAATTTCTCATACCCTTGGTGTAAAAATACCTTAGAGGTAAATTTTTTTGACTTTTAATTTTGGTCTCCTTTACTACCACACAATACTATTTATTCTGAACAATCATTTTACCAATGTAATGTTCTATCTATAAAGAGCAGTTTGACTAAAGAAGCATGACTTTAAAATAAAGAAAATCCCATGAACAATTCAGTTGAAGTACCTATATCCAAGAGTGTACTGAAATATTTTTGTTGGCAATCCTGTCATGAGTATGGCCACTGCTTTAATGTGTGAAAACCAATGAAAAATGTCAACTTGAGACATTTCTTTGACTCAATGGGAATTAAAAAAGTAAATAAATAAATAGACCATATTCACCAAATAAGAAATTTATTTTAAGAGAACATTAGGAATTAATTATACATATTTAATGTCAAAAATGACAGCCTGAATAATGAAATGGGACAATTATTAAAAATAGAAGTAAAATCCTACCTTGAATGCAATATGTGCCAAAAATATAATTATTAGTGTGTCTCTATACTATTAACTGTGAAAAAGGAAGTGGCTGACTGTAAGACTCAAAAAAGGGAAAAATTATGATGTGAAGACTACAGGGCTATCAATTAAGGCTCTACCAACAGATATGGGAGTGAGGCTATCCATGCAAGGCATGGCACCAGTTGTTATGCACTGTTGGAACACACATGGAACACTGTGGTTAGTTCTGGTTAATACCTTCCAGGTAAAGGGAAAATGAAACTGCAAATTATAGCATACGATGAATACTACCTGAGAAGATGAAGAACTTCCTCTCAACAAAACTTTGTGAGCCAAGGAAGACAACTATGGGGGGGTGTTAAAAAGAGAATTAAAAAATAAAGGCCTCAAAGTAGATGTCTAAGGACACTTCCAATTCAGTGTTTCTACTATTTAGAACACATGACACGTAGATTTACTGCTATACCAGGCCTAACTTAATTGTTACCTTTCCTCCTGCTGTGACTGTTTCTTCATCCTGTTCATCTGCAAAAATCAAAATGCACGGTTTATTAAAAAACAAGTGAATGCTGTTTGGATTACCTGGAAATTTTGAGACAGAGAAAAGGAGTGAATTTGAACATTATTAAAGCAGAATCACTCTAATAATTCAGTAAATTAGGATTTTACACAAAAACACAGAGATGAATAGAAATCTAAACTATAAATTAAAACTTTCTTAACAGAATTTAATAATTTACTGCTTAGGCTAATATCTGACTTATGATCTTGGTTAATAAGAGGTAAGAGACTTACCTGGATAGAATGGGAAAAAACTATGGAACAAAACTCAAAATCATAAAAAGACCAAGTTTGAGAAGGAAGGGCTGCTTATGCACAGGGAGATAGCTCAGGGTGCAGAAGAGTATGAAGGGATAGACACTGGGAGGAAGTAACTATGGGGAGGAAGTGGGAGGGGAGCTGCTGCACTGTAAATTTTGGTCAATGACATGAGACAAAGTATATATGAACTGCTGTATGAAAAGTGAATTTACTCTGTAAATCTTCACCCAAATCCTAATAAAAAAAAAAAAAAAGACCAAGTTTACTGCTCTGATAGAGTCTGGTGAGACCACAGAGATTATGCCCCCTAGTTACTTTTCAGGTCTGGAACTTAACTCACTCCTATAGCTTCCAGCCAAACAAGACAGGCATATCAGATGAACATTTACATCAGGTAGACATACTCCACAGAACGATCAATCATGGGAGAACGGGGGGCAGTGTTTTGCAAAGGAAGATAGCTCAGGTGGTAAGAATGCACAGGAAAGAAGGACACAGGGAAGAGGTAACCACAGGCAGGAAGTGGGAAGAGATCTGCTATACTGTGTATGAACTGTTTACATACATACATACATACATACAGTGTATGTATGTGCTGTAAGAAAAATTCTTTTTCTCTGTAAACTTTCATCCAAATCACAAATTAATTAATTAAAAAATCTCTTCCAGGTGTAAAATTCTTTGAAGTAAAAACTTTAGTGTATTCTTAAAACACAAGGTTCTCTTTGATTTTGACAACTGAAGAAAAGAATAATCCATATTGTTACTCCATCTGTAACTTGCAGGAACAAAGACATTTAAAACTAACTCATTTTCCTATAAAAACGACTCTACTCCTTTTTATACTAACCTAGATTCACCTTACTTGTGAAAATGTACTCTACAACTTGAAAAAACACTATGAAAGGATGGTGTGGATCTCAATTTATAATGCTTAGAACACTTCAGTTGACTAGCAAAGTGTTGACTGTTAACAGATTTTTGCTATGAAGATGCAAAATTGATTTGTCTCTATGCTGTGAAGTTAGAGAGACTGGAAAAAAGTGCTCTAATTAGAGCTACTGCTTTAAAATTCACATATTCTGCTTTCAAGTATATTATTATTATCATTGCTAGTTTCCAGAAAAATGGTATGGTGAGATGAGAACACTCAATATAGAAACAATGCATAATAGGAAGTTAACTTTCCTAAGATGATAGCAAAAAAACTATTATGGTGCTAAAGGTAGCCATAGTCAATATTACGTTCTCGTAATCAGAACCAATGAAAGGAACATTTCTGAGTACTGAAAGGAGTGTATCGGGGACTGATACAATCAAGAATAAAACAACACAGAATGATACAGAGATTTTTTTTGTTTTTACCCAAGTCTGCAACAGTTCCTCCTTTCACAGGTGTATTTTCACTATCTTTCTTTGGGTTCACTGTGGGTGGGGGAAAAAAAAAAAGAAAAAGGATGACAACAACTCATAAGGCATATTTTTAATAACAAACTTAAATATACATGGATCTCATTGCAACAACAAAGTCATTTACTACTCTCCTTCACACAAAAATTACAAGCTCAGTTTTGAAACACTTAACAGACAATAGTTTTGTAATTAATTATACAAGCAGCAATACCTTTTCATCATAAAAGAAAATTCAGAGCAAAATATGAAAACAGCCTTTTAACCTCTTGTCCCAAAACATTTTTACAGTTTTTTTTTTTAATTATGATTTGGGTGGAAAGTTTACAAATTTATTTTCCATACAGCAATTGACATACATTTTGTTTCACGACATTAAATGTAATTCCCCATGATGTTACAGCTCTCTTCCCAGTTCCTCCCTGTAGTTACCTCTTCCCTGTGTTGTTCTTTCCTATATATTTCTGGCCTCTGAGCTATCTTTCTGGGCAAATACTGCCCTTCTATCCTCTCAGGATTGATTGTCCTAATGAGTGTATCAACCTGATGTAAATGTTCACCCTCTATACCTGCCTATGTTTGACTGGAAGCCACAGCAGTGACTTCAATTCCAGACCTGAAGGGTAATTCAGGGCCATAATCTGGGGTCTTAGCAGACTCTTATAAGACCAGTAAACTGGTCTTTTTTATGATTTTGAGTTTTGTTCCACACTATTCTCCCACTCTATCTAGAATATTCTGTAGTAATCTCTTTCCATGTGGTTTACAGTTGATAGTCAGGTACCATCTAGTTCTTCTGGTCTCATGGTCATATAGGCTGACATTCACATGGTCCACTAGTCCCTTGACTAATGGTTTCCATGAGTCTTTGGTTTTCTTCATTCTTCTTTGCTCTGGGCGAAGACAGACCCATTGTTCCATCCAGATGGCCCTTTGCAACCTTTTAAGATCCCAGTTGCTACTTAGAAAAGTAGGATGGAGAGCAACGTTTTTGTATAGGATGTTAGGCCAATTGAGCTTGATGTCCCCTGCAACCATGGTCCCCAGCACAAAGGTCAGACAACTCGTTCCACCAGGGTGGTTGACTATGCCTAATAAATTATTGTAACTTTAACCCCCTTAGTTCTAGTTATATGGACATTCCCACACCACGGACAAATATGTATGCATAAAAATCATCTGCCAACCTTATATACGGTCAAGGTTTTATTTACTTTTGCCCAAACATACCTGATCATTCAGCCTGTCTACCCATCTATTCCTGTAGATGAATGTTTGTTATCATTGATAACTCAGTATTATATACAGAAAAGTTCTTTTGTTGTCTGTACATCTTATGCACCTCTCTGTGCCTTCCTTTCCTTAGTGTTATCGTGTTGGTCACTTGTTTTTGGTATATTGCCTTTCCCATTACCCAGATCAATATTTGTCTCCACCTATCTAGTAGTGCTCCCTCTCCTCCTTTCCCATCCCTGGTAAAAAACAAGGAAAAGTAAACAGCTTTTTATGCATTTCTTGATTTCCATTTCTGTGTCACTCATTAATTCAGAAACAAAAATTGATGGAGGACTGAAACCTTTTATGTATCTACATAGACTTCAAAACTCAATGGAGAGTTTTAAAACCTCATATAAATGCTATGTGTTTATTCTTTACTCATATAACAGTGTGCCTGTGTGATATTTCTATGTAAAAACTATTAGTTATATTATATCTCTTTTGTTTTTAATAGGTCCATGGGTAGACTATACATGAACTAGTCCTATACTAATGGAAAATTAAGTTGATTTTCAACTTTTCACTATTCTGTAATCAATATTTTGAATGTATCTCTGTGCATGCACATAGTTATTTTAGAAGCATTCTAAAAATTATAACTGCTATTGAATACCCCTATTTTAATATGTAATAGAACAGGCCAATTGTGTCCAAAGGTTTCCAACAATAGCAACTAAGAGTACCAGTCAATCTTTCCATTGGTTGATTAAGTGAGGTTTAACATCTTTCCACATGTGTTGGCTCTGTATATTCAATGAATTACCAATACATAATAACTTTGCCACAATTTACTCTATGCGGTTTAAAAATTTTTTAATATATATTTACGATTTGAATCCTTTCTTGTCAAAAATTTTCTCCCAACCTAACATCTGTTTAAAGTATAATACGGAAAATTCAAAGATTGGTTTTGTTTTTTATATTTACTACATTAATCAAACTGAAGTTTAAAATTCTTTTATTTGATACAGAGAACTAAATTTTACCAAAAGTATTTATGGATCGCTTCACTCTTTTTTGATTTATCTGCAGTGAAATTTGCCTTAAATAAAATTTATCAATGAACATGGATCATTTTTTTTTAAAAAACTGTGGTTTGGGTTTAAGTTTACAGAGCAAATTCATTTTCCATACAACAGTTCATGCATTTTGTCTCAAGACAATGACTGCAATTTCCCACAATGTCATAGCTCTCTTCCCACTTTCTCCCCATAGTTACCTCTTTCTTGTGTTCTTCCCTTCCATGGAGACCTACCCCTCGAGCTGTCTCCCTGTGCATATATTGCCTTTCTATTCTCCCATGATTGATCTCTCCAAGGAGTGTATCTATCTAATGTAAATTAAACATGGGTCTATTTTTTTAAATGTATTTATTTTTAAATTCTTTAAATTGAGAATACACACAGGAAAAAATACACCAATCCAATAATTTCTGCATGTAGAAAACCTATATAATGCTTCATGAATTTGTGTGTCATCCTTGTGCTGGGGACATGCTAATTTCCTCTGTATCCTTCCAATTTTACTTTATGTGCTACCAAAGCGATCACCGGGAGTCGATTTCTAAACTGGTTATTCTATTCCATTATTGATTTAGTCACTGCAAAAACTAAACTATTTTTATTAGTTAGCTTTACACTTTAAGTAGTTACTTCTTAGAATTATTACCACCCAGTCTACGGCCATACCACCCTGAACGCATCTGATCTTGTCTGATCTTGGAAGCTAAGCAGGGTCAGGCCTGGTTAGTACTTGGATGGGAGAATTACCACCTTGACTGATGTTTTATTTTTGAAAAATCTTTCAACCCTCCTGAGATTGTGGCCCTGCGACATCCTTTAAACCTGGAAGAGAAACCATCCCCAGCGATCACCCTGCAGTCAAACAACAGACAGGCCTATAAAGTGAACAACCACATTCATAAGGAACATATTCCTCAGAATAATCAACCATACGAGACTAAATGGGCAGCAATTGCCTAAAAACACAGGTCAGAGAAGGCAGGAAGGAGCAGAAAAGGACAAATGGAAACGGGAAACCCAAGGAGGGTGCTGATATATTGAAGGAATTGCAACTAATGTTAAGAAAAAAATTGTGTATAAATTACTGAATGCAAAATTAATTTGCTGTGTAAACTTTAACCTAAGCTACAATTAAAAAAAAAAGTTTTATTTTTGAATGTTAGCAACTTAAAAGTATTCTTGTCAAATTCCAGTAGTAATTCTATTAGCATTTTTAAGTTAATTATACTGACTTACTCAGCAAGTACCACCACTTCCAACACTCCTTTGTCATTCTGAAAGTTTTTATTCAAGTTTTCTTTTATGTCACTCAGAAATTTGTGTATTTTTACTCACTGCTGTTATACTTCTAATTCTACCCTGTGGAATTTTATGGTTTTACCTCCCACTATGAATCTAACTTTCCAATGATATTTCCTTATTGACTTAAGAGACAACTATAGATTTTTTCTGGTTTCAATATTACTGCATATCCTATGGTACACCATATGCAGAAATGGTGTACCATTGACATCGTGCTCTGTTCTGCAAAGAATGAGATTTTTTTTCTTGCTACTAAGTCTTTCTACTTGAGCTACACTTTCATGAATATAAATAAGCCCAGAAATTTCATCACCAGAAATACAGGTTCATCACACTTAACCTACAAAATTTATGACCAGAAGTCTTCACATTTACATTCAAATAAAGCAACTGACTACACCTTTAGAGCATTAGGACTGGAATGACTCAATAGCAAGCTGAGATATAGATATTACACAACCTTGTGTGCTTTAAGTAAAGATGACTTGAAGCACTTACTGGAGAAAATCCAAAGACTGCAGCCTCCAGAATGGATTACACTTCAAGATAAAGAAAACAAAAATCCTCACAACTGGGCCAATAAGCAACATCATGGTAAGAGGAGAAAGGACTGAAACTGTCATAGTTTTCATTTTACTTGGATCCACAATCAACACTCAAGGAAGCAGCAGTCAATAAATCAGATGTCATACTGCACTGGGCAAATCTGCTGCAAATGACTTCTTTAAAGTGTTAAATAACAAAGATGTCACTTGAGGACTAAAGTTGTGTCTGACTCAAGCCATGGCCTCTTCAATCACTTCATATGTGCGTGAAAGCTGAATAATGAATAAAGAAGATCAAAGAAAAACCGATGTCTTTAACTTATGGTATTGACAAAGACTATTAAATATACCAATAGGTTTCAGTGGAGCAGCCAGACTAAGACAGACTCAGAGGAAGGATGACACCGTCCACTTCTCAAACAATTGGCCTATGAAAACCATATGAATAGCAGTGAAAGACTGTCTGATATAGTGTCGGAGGATGAGTCCCTCAGGTCAGAAGGCACTCAAAATTTGACTGAAGAAGAGCTGAGTCCTCAGGGTAGAGCCAACCTTAGTGATGTGGATGGAGTAAAGCTTTTGGAACCTCCATTTGCTCATGTGGCACAACTCAAAACAAAAAGAAAAAGCTACAACATCCATTAATATTCAGAATATGGAATGTACAAAGTATCAATCTAGGAAAACTGGAAGTTGTCAAAACTGAAATGGAATGCATAAAGATTGATATGCTAGGTATTAGTGAGCTAAAATGGACCAGTTCTGGCCATACTGAATCAGACAACCATCTACCATGCTGGGAATAACAAACTGAAGAGGAAAGTGTGGCATTCATCATCACAAAGAATGTTTCAAGATCTATCCTGAAATACAATGCAGTCAATGAGGACAATATCCATACGTCTGTAAGGAAGACCAGTTAGTACTACCATTATTTAAACTTATACACCAACCACCAAAGCCAAAGATGAGGAAATTGAAGATTTTTACCAATTTCTGCAGTCTGAAATCGACTGAACATGCAATCAGTGATTATCACTGGTGATTGGAATGCAAAAGTTGGAAACAGTGAGGAATCACCAGTAGTTGGAAAATTTGGCTTTGGTGATAGAAATAATGGTGGCGATCATGTGACAGAATTTTAGATGACCAATAACTTATTCATTGCAAGTATCTTGCTTCAACAACACAAAAAGCGGCTGTACCCACAGACCTCGCCTGATAGAGTACACAGGAATCAGACTGACTACATATGTGGCAAGAGGCGATGGAGAAGCTCAAAGGCCAGGAGCTGATTGTGGAACAGACCATCAAGTGCTCATATGCAAGTTCAAGTTGAAGATAATTAAAAGAAATTCACAAAAGCCAAAATATGATCTTGATTACATATCTCTTGAATTTAGAGACCATCGAAAGAATAGATCTGATGCACTGAACACTAATGACCAAAAACCAGAGGAATTATGGGATGACATCAAGAACATCATCCATGAAGAAATCAAAAGGTCATTAAAAAGACAAGACCAAAATGGATGTCAGAAGAGACTCTGAAAGTAGCTAAAGCAAATGGAAGAAATGAGAAGATAAAAGAGCTGAACAGAATATTTCAAAGAGCAGCTCAAGAAGAAAAAGTGAATTATTAAAATTATATATTATAATTATTATAATGAAATCTGCAAAGCGCTGGAGTTAGAAAACCAAAAAGGAAGAACACAGTCGGCATTTCTCAAGCTGAAAGAACTGAGAAAAAATTCAAGCCCTGAGTTGCAATATTGAAAGACTGTATGGGCAATATACTGAATGATGCGGGAAAAATTTAAAAAAAAAAAAAAAAGATTGAAAGAATACATAGTCAAGAATTGGTCGATGTTCATCCACTGCAGGAGGCAGCATATGATCAAGAGCCAATGGTATTGAAGGAAGAAGTTAAAGCTGCAATGAAAGAATTAGTGAAAAACAAGGCTCCAGGAATTGACAGAATACCCATTGAGATGTTTCAACAAACGGATGCCATGCTGGAGGCACTCACTCGGCTATTTTTGGAAGACAGCTATCTGGAAAACTGACTGGAAGAGATCTTTATTTGTACCCATTCTAAAGAAAAGTGAGCCCACAGAATATGGAAATTATCAAACAATATCAGTAATATTGCATGCAAGTAAAATCTTACTGAAGATAATTCAAAAATGGATGCAGCAGTATACTGACAGAGAACTTGCAGAAATGCAAACCAGATTCAGAAGAGGACGTGGAACGAGGGGTATCATTGCTGATGTCAGATGGATGATAGCTGAAAGCAAAGCATACAAGAAAGATGTTTAGTTGTGTTTTTTTGACTATGCAAGAGCATTTGATTTTGTGGATCATAACAAATTATGGGTAACACTGAGAAGAATGGGAATCCCAGAACCCCTAATTGTACTCATGAGGAACCTGTACATAGACCAGGAGAGGCTGTCATTTAAACAGAACAAGGGGACACTGCACGGATTAAACATCAGAAGGGAGGGCGACAGGGTTGTATCCTTTCCCCACACGTATGCAATCTGTGTGCTGAGCAAATAATCCAAGACACTGGACAACATGAAGAAAACATGGGATCAGGATTGGAGGAAGACTCATTAACAACCTGCAAGATGCAAATGAGACAACTTTGCTTGCTGAAAGTGAGGATGATTCGAAGCAGTTAGTGAAGATTAAAGACTACTGTCTGCAGTATGGATTACACCTCAATATAAACAAAACAAAAATCCTCACAACTGGACCAATAAGCAGCCTCATGATAAATGGAGAAAAGACTGAAGGTGTTCTGGTTACCTAGTGCCGCTCTGACGAGAATATACCATAAATGGGATGGCCTTAACAAACAAGAGTTTATTCTCTCACAATTTGGAGGCTTTACGTCCAAGTTCAAAGAGCTAGGCTCTAGGGGTTGTGTGAAAACCCCTTGACTTTGAGCTTCAATTCAGCTCTACCTCTTGATCCCTGCCCACTGAAGCTAGAGGCATCTCTTTATTCAGGCAGCTAGTGGTTGCTGAGGCTAACAAGCCTAAGGTCGACAAAATGGCACAGTCCCCATGTTACCAAACCACATGGCAGGCCGTTAATTCAAGTCCATCGTAAGTCCCAAGGTCGACAGAGCATGGCAGGCTGCTGAAAAATGACACAGCTGCATGCTGGGTCCAAGTGTGCCATATGCTAGAGACCATTCCCAAAGCTGCTGATTATATACGGGAAGCAGACCACATACTCAAAGGCAGCTAAACAGTTGCTCACAGTAGCTTCCACCATGGAGATGATTACCAATCTCATCATGGGGACTACTACATCCAGCTGCCCAGCCACTCAACCAGGCCTAGCCAAGTTGACACAAAAACATCACCACAGAAGGTGTCAAGGACTTCTTCATATTACTTCGTTCCACAATCAACACCAACAGAAGCCACAGTCAAGATATCAGATGACGTATTGCATTGGGCAGATCTGCTGCAAAAGACCTTCTTAAAGTGCTGAAGAGCAAAGATTCTCCTTGAGGACTAAGGAGCTCCTGACACAAGCCATGGTATTTTCAACTGCCTCATATGCATGTGAGAGCTGTACAATGAATAAGGAAGATCGAAGAAGATTTGATGTTTTTTGAGTTACGGTGTTGGAGAAGAATACTAAAAGAGCTAACAAATCTGTCCCAGAAGTAGTTCAGCCGGAATGCTCCTTGGAAGTGAAAATGGCCAGATTTCGTCTCACCTACTTTGGTCATATTGTCAGAAGAGACCATTCCCTGGAGAAAGGTATCATGCTTGGTAAAGTGGAGAGTCAGTGAAAAAGGAGAAGGCCCTCAACAAGATGGACTGACAATGGCTGCAACAATGGGCTCAGGTATAGCAAGGATCGTGGGGCTGGCACAGGATCAGGCAGTGATTCGTTCTGTTGTATACAGGGTCGCTGTGAGTTGGAAACGACTTGATAGCACCTAACAACCACCACAACACTGAATATACCATGTACTGCCAAAAGAATGAACAAATCTGTCTTGGAAAAAGTATAGCCAGAATGCTCCTTAGAAGAGAGGATGCGGAGACTTGGTCTCAGGTACTCTAGACATGTTATTGGAAGAGATGAGTCCTTGGACAAGGACATCATGCTTGGTAAAGTTGAGGGTCAGTGAAAAAGAGGAAGGCCTGCAACAAAATGGACTGGCAGTGTCTACAACAATGGACTCAAGCAAAGCAACAATTGTGAGGATGGCACAGGATTGGACAGTGGTTCATCCTGTTATACAGAGGGTCATTATGAATTGGAACCAACTCAGCAGCAGCTAAAAACAACAATGGAGGTTAATACATAGAATTGTACATTGAAACATACTATCCCTTTTCCCATATACATTGATTTTGTTGGGATTTAAAAAAAAATATTTTTTTCTCCCAAATCACAATTTTAAAAAGTGATTTTAAAAAAAGTTAATTATAAAGTGTTCCTAAATTTAGAAAACATTTTAGTCACTTCAAGTTTTCTCAATATACTACTAACAAAAGTACACCAAAAAATTGGGCATGAGGGAATTTCTTAGAAGTTAACCTTATAAAGAAGAAATCTATGCATATTTGAAAGTGAAGAACTGTGGATATACAACATAAAACTGAACCACCCCATAAATGATAATGATAATGAATAAATCATGTCTAACAGTATAAGGCATATTTAATTAGAATAATACAAACCATTTTTGGGAAGTACCACTTCCTCTATGTTGGGTACAGGTGTTGGATCCTCCATATCCTTGGTAAGATCTTCTTGCTCTTCTTCTTCTTTCTGACTTCTACGTTTCCCATAAAGACTAGTTTGGCTAAACCATATAACAGACAAAATATAAAGAGACTGATTATAGTAACTCTTTGTTTTTTAAGTGTTGTAAAAAGACATATAACACAGTAATTGCCAATTTAATGTTTTCCACGTGTACAATTAGTGACATCAATTAATCATGCTGTGCAACCATCACCAATATCTGTTGAAGATTTTCATCAACAGAAATACAGTATTAAATAGCTAAACAATGATACACCACCCAAAGTCTAGTAATGACTAATAGTGTACCTACTACATTTGTCTATTCTCATCCCTAGGTGGAACAGTGGTTTGTGATCAGCTAATGATCTAAAGATTAGAGGTACAAACCCACCTAGCAGCACTGCAAAAATGCTTCTTTAAAGATTACAGACAAGAAAACCCTACAGAGAAGTCTATGTTCCATGACATATGGAGTCATTATGAAGAATCTATTCAACAGTAATGGGTTAGCTAGATTATAATTACTTTCAGCAAACAATTTCTGAGGTTTTACCTTCATTACTGCAAGAATTTTATACCCCAAATCATTTAAAAAGACAAACAGAAACCAAACAGATTTGACTTGTTCTCTAATTAAATCTAACCAGTCAAAAAGAAAAATAAAAGTTACTAGGTTTAAGAAATGGACAAAGGAATTCAACTGTTCAAATTGTAGCCAATATCCTAAAAGTGGCTTCAATTAGTGTAATAAAAGGTAAGGAAATATTGCATATTCTTTTCACTCCATTCTGAAAACAGGATCATAAAAAAAATCACCACATAAGAGATTTTCTCAAATATATATAGAACTGCATTTTCCAGGCTCTTTGTGTCACCCAAAGAACAAGAACTGCAAAGCACAGAATCACTTACTATCGTACTCTTTAAAAAAAAAAAAAAAAAAAACTGCCATCACCCTTTCATCAAAAATTCAATCAAACCAATTTTTATTTTTAAAACTATTACATGAGACAAAGCATATTAGGCCTTGAAGAATGGGAATGATTCCTTACCTTGAGAAATAAAAAAAGATTCAAGAAAAGAAAGTGTTAAATATATCACTTAAAAAAAAAAAAAAAAAAAAAATCTGCTGCCATCGAGTAGATTCTGATCCTTCCAACCCCCATAGGGTTTCCAAGGCTGTAAATCTTTATTGAAGTAGGTTGCCTCATCTTCCTCCTGTGGAGTAGCTAGCGGGTTTGAACTGCCACAACCTCTGGTAAGCAGCCAAATGCCCTACCCATTGGGCCACGAGAGCTCCTTAAATAGCTCACATAATGATTACCAAAAACAGCGAAATGAATACATACTGTACCAAGAAAATACATTTTTGAGCATAGTAAATTATGTTTGAGAATAGTTAGTCAAAACTGAAGGTAGATTTTGAGCTGACCTAGAAAACTGAGAAATAATTCACTAAGAACTAGGCAGTTATTTCAGAAGGAGAAGTAGAAGCTTAAAAGCACAATTTAAACAAAAAACAAACTTGTTTTGAAAAGGAAGGGATTATGATCTCCAAGTGTATTTACAAGTAAAAGTAACAATAGAGAATGCTGACTGAAACTGCGAGCTGGGACCATCCTGACTCCTCACACTGTAGAGAATGTTCAAAGTTTTCTTCTAACTGGGACAATAAATTGGTACAGATTAGCATAAGATGCATAAAGTAAAATGGTGTTTTGTTTTGTGTTTTAAATGAAAATGACATGATGATTTATAAAAGCCTATAAACCTAAAGAGGGAGGAGAGATAAAACAGTCAATGCAGGGAAGATTAATAAAACTTCAGGAAAACAGATTTCACAATGCTTTGGTTAAATATAGGATTCTAAGGGAAAATTTATAATAAGCAAAGGGCCTGGTCATTACAAAGCATCTTCACATACATTTACTTTGGGAAACCCAATTCAGCAAGTTTTACTCTACTATGTGGGCCTCTCAGATAGCACATATTCATTCATTCAATGGACACTAAGGATCTAGCACCCCATCTAAGTTCCTAAGTTGAACAGCAGCACATCAAGATTCAGATCAGAAATTTAAGATATAATGTTACCCCCATAATATCTTAAAAAAAAAAAAAAAAAAAAAATCATTTTTGTTACTGTAATTTTTATGTCATAATATATCTAGCTTCACAAAACAGAATCTTTTAAATGACTCTTAGTGACTCAGTTGAAACAAGGAGGTTTTGGAACTGTTAAAGATTTCAAGCATGATTAAGAAGGCTTCTACTAACTGTGTGAGGGAACAATAAAGCATATTCTGTGAACAGAAATGCTACTTTAGCTGAAGAAGAAAATTTACATAAGGAAGTAGGAGGAGACAAGATGTCAGGCAGGTCATTACAGTCCAGTCTACAGGAAGCAATTCAACAAATTTACTATTAACTGAAAAGAATAAATTTTGGAAATGGACATTTTCTCACTAAGACTAAACTATAACCTCTGAAATGATACAAAAAATATTTTGATTTAGGCAATTTGGAAATTATTTATTGAGTATCTACTTAACATACAATAAGTTATTAAGTATCTACCATTTACTAAATATCTACTTCAGGGCAAACACTGTACAAGGGCTTTAAAGTCTCATTTAATTTCCACAAAAACATATTCAATGGAAGCCATAGGCTCCGTATAAGCATGGCTTATTAACTACAAATGTGTCACTCTAAGCAAAGTACTATACTTCTGCACTTTGTACAACATCAAATAGTTGTAGGTTCACCTCCTCCATGAGTCCTTTTGCTCACCCATGAGGACAGGTAATAAAATCAGAGAAGCAGACATTAACTATGTATAAAGTTTCTTGGGTTTCTTACCAACTGCACATTTAGATATATATTAAGAGACAGACAGAAAAAATATTGACTACAGGGTGTCTTTGTAAAAAAGACAACATAAGATGCATGAGAGTTAACAACCTATGACAAAATAAGGTATCAAAGCAAATGATGTCACAACGTGAGTGACAGAAGTCCACTTCCATTAAGAAAAATTTCCAATACAAAAGTAAAAATCTGGAAAGTCCTTTGGACTTTGTTTTCTACCTTTTGAATCATGTCACACTTCTTACCCTTTTTTCCCACTCTTCTTCCGTGATTCTGTGGGTGTAGGAGGGGGAGGGGAAGGTGAATGTTTCCTCTTTCGAGCATTAGCTGCTGCTTTTCTATCTCTTCTCTCTGGACTTCGGACTGGCTAGGAGAAAGTCAATGGAAATAGGTATCAAACAGCTTTGCCCATTCCTCAGTTTCTACAAACCCTGTCCAAAGGTGAGTTTGGACAAATAAAGACTGTACCATATCCATTGACTCAGAGAAAATGGAGAGCACATTATTAAGTATCACAGATGACCAGCAATCAAGAGACTGTGGCCTTTAACATGATGCATGACCAACGGAAATATCAGTATTTCAAGCCATGTAGTAACATAGACATGCCAAAATCTGCATAACAAAAACTGTCTCTGTTCACATTCTGGCTTTTCCCAGAATGGGAAGTATTTTAGTAACTACTGGAAAAACATACATTCTATGAAGTAGATCAAATACAATGATAGGCTGAATGATCTTGTAAAAATGTACCATTATAAAAAGAACTTCTAACTCATGAGTAAGAATGTAAGACATGAAACTATGACAAAAGCTTTATTGCAACAGGTTTGCCACCAGAACATAGGGGTTAGTGACAACCATGGCAGTATCTAAGCCAAAACAGAAAAGGACCAATATCAACATTGTTGCCACTGGACCTATAGATTCTGGCAAGTCCACCACTACTGGTCACCTAATCTACAAATGTGGGATCAAAGAAAGAACCATAAAAAAATTTGGGAAGGAAGCTGCTGAGATGGGAAGGGACTCCTTAAAGTACACTGGGTTTTGGATAAACTAAAAGCTGAACGTGAGCATGGCATCACCACTGATAAATTTGAGACCAGCAACTTGGTGAATCTGAAGCTGGTATCTCCAAGAATAGGCAGACCATAAGCATGCCCTTCTGGCTTACACACTGGTTGTGAAACAACTAATTGGTGGTGTTAAAATGGATTCCCTGAGCCACCCTAAAGCCAGAAGAGATATGAGGAGATTGTTAAGGAAGACAGCACCTACATTAAAAACTGGCTACAACCCCAACACAGTAGCTTTTGTGCCAATTTCTGGTTGGAATAGTGACAACATGCTAGAACCAAGTGTTAATATGCCTTGGTTCAAGGGATAGAACGTTAACCAAAAGGATGGCAGTGACAGTGGAACCATGCTGCTTGAAGCTCTGGTTTGCATCCTGCCACCAACTTGTTCAAATGACAAGCTCCTGCATCTGCCTCTCAAGAATGTCTACAAAATTAGTGGTAATAGCACTGTTGCTCTGGGTAAAGTGGACACTAGCATTCTGAAACTAGGCATGATGGTCATCTTTGCTGTAGTCAATGTTACCACTGAAGTAATGCGTGTTGAAATGCACCGTAAAGCACTGCCTGGGAATAATGTAGGCTTCAATGTTAAGAACATCTCTGTCAAAGATGCTTGTTGTGGCAATGTGCCTGGTGACAGCAAAAATGACCCACCAATGGAAGCAGCAGGCTTCACTGCTAAGGTGATAATGCTCAATCACCCAGGCAAAATCAGTGCTGGCTATGCACCTGACCTGGATTGTTACACAGCTCACAATGCTTGCAAATATGCTAAGCTCAAAGAGAAGATAGATCACTTCAGTGAGAAGCTAGAAGATGGCCCCAAATTCTTTAAGTCTGGTGATGCTGTCATCATAGACACGGTTCCTGGCAAACTGATGTGTGTCAAGAGCTTCTGACTATCCTCCTCTGGGTAATTTTGCTGTTTGCAATATGAGGCAGACGTCTGTTGTAGGTGTCATCAAGGTAGTGGACAAAAAAGGCTGCCAGAGCAGGTAATGTTACCAAGTCTCCTCACAAAGCTCAGAGGGCTAAATGAGTATTATCCATAATGCCTACCATCTTAGTCTCTATCAGTGCTAGAAGAACATCTTACAAAGGACTGTTTCAATTGGTCATGTAAATTTAATAGTAAAACACTAATGAAAGATAACAATGCATCATTGTAAAACCTTCAGAAGGAAAGGAATGTTTTGTGGACCATTTGTTTTTTGTGCGGCAGTTTTAAGTCATTAGTTTTCAAAATCAGTACTTTTTAAATGGAAATAACGTAACCAAAAATTTGTCCCAAAATTTTGAGCTCTACTAAAACAAAGTTTAATGAGGAAAAAAAAGATTATGACACAAGCTTTTAAATAAGATTGCATCTTATCATTTGAAAGACAATTATCCCTATTTACACACATACAGGCTTACATACAAAAAACCCAAAGAATCCACACACAAAAAAACAAGCTACAAAAGCAAAACTATTTGATCTTTTAAAAAATTCAACACAGTTGCAGCATATAAAAAACTTACCATGCACATAGTAACTATCAATTTAATAAAATAACTGTACTGAAGAAATAAATACCTTAAATGAAAGCATATGAGGTAAAGATATTTTTTTAAAAAAAGAGCTTAAAACATCAAACATTAATTACCTCTGGTACCCTCACCATCTCTTACAACTATCCATTTGCTTTCAGTAACTGTGGTATCAAAATAGAAATCTGAGACATCCTACAAGTCTGTAAGGGCAATTTTAAAACAATTCTAAACTACACACATTTTTCAGTTATATAGTCTGAAGTTAAATTAAAAAAAAAAAAAGGGATATTAAATCAATTTTGATATACTACTCCTAAAAATAAATGAATGGATAAATAAACTATTCAGCTAAATCTGTATTGGGGTATATATGAAGACCAGTTTAACAATGTGACACAAAGACTAAAATATTCCTAATGAAACAAAAGACTTGGCTTGAAATTCATTAAAAGAAATAAATATAAAAACGTACCTGCCAAGTAAATTAAAATAAACAAAGTTTGAACAGTCAAATCGCAAATGAAGAATGTACATACTGTGGTAAAGAAGTTTTAATAGAAAAGTAACAGGGTAAAAATAAGTATGAAAAAACTGCACTTTCTAAGTTAAGGGTTAAAAAAAAAATTCTAGGTCTCAAGAGATTTTTCAAAACAGTAAAACACAAAGAAGAAATAGCAAAAAATGTAAGCTGCCCTAATAAAAAGAACTTTAGAAATCACCAGTTCTCTAAAGTTGCCACAAAACCAACTCTTTTCAGACAAGTCTTCCTGCACTGACGCATCAACATCATAAGACATGGAATCATGGATATTTAAGTGGTTGGACTTTTTCTTTTTTAATTTTATTGTGATTTGGGTGGAAGTCAACAGAGCAAATTCATCTTCCATACAGCAGTTCATGTACATTTTGTCTCATGACATTGACTGCAAAACCCCACAATGCAACAGCTCTTTCCCCACTTCCTCCCTAAAGACACCTCTTCCCTGTGTCCTTCCCTCCCATGCATTCCTGCCCCCGAGCTGTGCCACTGCGCCTTGGTGCGTACACAGCCCTTTTATTCTCCCATGATTGATCTTTCCAAAGAGTGTATCTACCTAATGTAAATGTTCAGCTCATATGCCTGTCTTGTTTTGCCGGAAGCCACATGAGTGGGTTCAATTCCAGACCTAAGGGCAGCTAGGGGCTACAGTCTAAGGGGTTCCACCAGGCTTTATCAGCTAGCAAACCTGATTCCTTTTTTCTTTTTTTAATGATTTTGAGTTTTGTTCCATATTGTTCTTCCTCTCTATCCAGGATCTCCTACATAGATCCCCCTCCGAGTAGAAAATATTGGTAGTCAGGCACCATCTAGTTCGTCTGGTCTCACAGTTGTATAGGCTAAGGATCACATGGTGTACCAGTCCCTTAGACTAATTGTTTCCATGCATCTTTGGTTTTCTTCATTCTTTTGCTCTGGACGAGAGACACCCATGATTCCATCTAGATGGCCGCTTGCAAGCTTTTAAGATGCCAGTCGCTACTTTCCAAAGTAGCATATGAAACAACGTTTGATGTAATATGTTATGCCAATTGAGCTTGATGTTCCCTTCCATCATGGTCCTGAGCCCACAGGTCTTACTACTTGCTCCCTCTCAGTAGCTGGCTGTGCCCAAGAAGCGGCTTCAACCTTGTCCCATGTCAGCTCTACAATATACCTGGGGATTCTTATAGAACACACAAACAGAATTACAAAAACACTGTCTGTGAACCCTATATACGGTCATGGAGACACTCTTCCCTGCACAGACATACCTAATCATTCAGCCTGTCCACCCATATGTCAATGTTTGTCATCACTGACTACACAGTACTGTATGTGCAAAACGGTTCATCTTTGTTGTCTGTACCTCCCTGTACCTCTCTTTATGTCTTCCTTTTCCTCAATAGCCACTGTGTTGATCACTCGCATTTGGTACACTGCTCTTCCCTTCACCCAAATCAATACTTGTCTATGTAAGTGGCTGGACTTTTTAAAGGATTAAAGAATATTTAGTGTCAAAAAAGGACTGAATTATAATTCTGAGGTCTTTAAGGTGCTAATTTGTGCTAATCCTTTCAGCACATTAAAACAATTATTCATGATTTTATCCAGCTGAATAAAATTGTGTTGTGATACTGCATAAGGTGGATGAACTTGGAGGACATCATGCTGAGTGAAATAATTAATCACGGAATGACAAATATTGTAAAAAGTTTATATATGGAAGAAAATTTTCTTTGTTGGTTACTAGGGGTGGAGGGGAAGGGAGGGAACAATGAGGAAAAAAAATTCATCTTGTCCTATTTTCTGCAATAAAAACATATACAAATTGGCAAAAGAAAAAGAATTGTGTTATTATGGTACTTAATATACAAAATTAGAACTCAGATTTAGGAAACAAAATGAGTTGTACCACTGCCATACTACTTAAGCCATTTTAAATCTTAAAGACCCTGTGAGATTTTTATGCCCTTTTTTGGGACTGATTACAAGCATTTAGTGACTTTTATATATCTTCAATGGCTAATGCTCTTTGGAATTTATCAACGAAGATTCAATGACATTTAGTCCAAGAAAAATTAAGTTGAGAGAAATGGTGCCAAATCAATACCTCTTCATTCTTTGTTGAAATTCGCTGCCGAAAACTCACAGGCTTCCTGTTCTCATCCACTTCATAATCTTCCTCATTCATCCATTCATTAAAAATATCAGTATCCAAAATCCATTTCGCATGAACCTAAAAAAAGAAGGAAACATGAACATCTACATAAATAATTACATCACTCAAGGTTTTAATAAACCAATGTATTAAAAAGGAAAGAAGCTGGTTTATTATTCCCAAAGCCTCAGTTCCATAAAACAGATTAAAAACTTAAGATTAGTAGTAACATGTGACTGGTAATTTCATTTTTACTAATTTTTATTCTCTAGCTTTTGCTGAGCAAAGACAGTAAAAAAGTATATAGTATAAGAAAAATTGCCTCAGGAACAAGAATATTATTCTACGAAATCAGATTCCACAACAATTTCTAAAGTAAATATAGCTTCAGAACACATACTAAGCAAAATAAAAGTTAAATTTATTTTAAAAGCTTATGTATATTAGTAACAAAATGATTAAGATCTGTCATTATTTTTACATTAATGACATTAACAATGATAATGCAGCAAACACACTTACTTATTCTGAGCATAACTCATTTAACACCCAATTGTTGGAATCAACTCAATTGCAGTGGGTTTGGATTTTCAGTATCATGCTAGAAATATATTACTATTAATATTAGCTCCATATAGCACTTACCAAAAATTTAAGAAATCTTATCAATGAAGACACAATTATTTCATGTAGTGTAACAATAACAAAAGTTGCCTATTTGAACTGTGAAATGTAGCTCAACTGTAAACAAACACTGATTTCAGACATATTCAAATGTGAAAAACCATATATATTAGAATCAAAGAAATGTGGTAAGATATTCAATTATAAAATGATGGGTCTAAAATGGTAGCATAGTGCCTAAGGCACTTGACTGCTAACCAGAAGGCTGGGCGGTTCAAACCCAACAGCCACTCCTCGGAAGGAAGGTTGGGCATTCCTACTTCCGTAGTGATACTACCTCAGAAACCCAAGGAGGGGTCGCTATGAGTCGGGGCCGACTCGATGGCAAATAACAACAACAACAACAACAACAACAAAATTTAACCAAGATAGACTAGGATCCAGAGACAAAATATAAGTACTAAATTTCACTGAGGAAAGTTTATGAAGACATTTTACCAAAGAGTAAATGTGATCAGTAAACCAATATAAAGAACAAATTCAATATTCAATACATTCACATATTCAAAACACACTCTATACCAGTAAAACAATACTATAAGATATTTGGCCAATACATTGTTAAGAAGAGCTCGGGTGGCATAGCGCCTAAAGCATTTGACTGCTAACCAGAAGGCTGGTGGCTCAAAATCACCAGGCACTCCTCAGAAGGATGTCTGGGCAATCTACTTCCAGAGTGATGCTGCCTCAGAAACCCAAGGAGGGCTCACTATGAGTCACATCCAACTTGACGGGCATGAGTTTGGTTTTGTTTTGGACACTGTTAATACAATGTTTTTCATCTTCTCAAATGTCTATCCAACATTTACTGAGGAATTCTAAATGTCAAAAATTGAGCTAAAGGCTGAAAAACAAACACAATAAAGATACTGTATTAAAAAAACAAAACAAAACATAGTAACAGCCAGAGTACTCAAAGACAAGGTTGATGATCTTAGATCAAAACCACATAAAGAAGACATGTAAAGTAATTGTAACACAAGGAAATGCAAATTGATGTAATTTACTGTAATGAAACAGCCTGAAAAGAACAAACCAGAACAATTTTACATAGAGATTTCTGCAAAAACCTGAGGAGCACTGGAGCCAAATATGATGATGCTTCATGTGAACGCCTCAGACTGAGATGCTAGTGGGACTCAAGACAGAGAAATCTAAGAATGAAGGTAGAGCACTTCAAGACAGACATGTGGATTGCCAATGGTATGAACCTAAACCACCTTAATCTCTCTGGAGTCAATAAAATATTCCTAAACTAATATTCTTTATGAATTTTTTTCCCAATGAAGAAAAAGTGATTATGTCTAAAATATAGTCATAGTATATAGTCACAGACAGTGAGAACAAAGACAAAACAAAACAAAACGCGAGAGTTTACAAAATTCATACCCAACAGAATATTACAAAACCGTTAAAAGTAACAGTTGTAAATATTGTTCAAACCATAAACCAAACCAAACTCACTGACAACAAGTCGATTAGATTCAGTGACCCCTCCTTGAGTTTCCAAGGCGGTATCTCTACAGAAGTAGATTGCCCAACCTTCCTTCCGAAGAGTGGCTGGTGGGTTTGAACTGCTAGCCTTCTGGTTAGCAGTCAAATGCCTTAGGCACTACACTACCAGAGCTCCTATGAGGGCAGATATTGTCTTAGTCTTCACTGCTCCCAGTGCCCAATAACATATATTTTTCTAATAATAGATTTAAAAATACATGTATCTCATTGCAACAATGTTATTTACTACTCACCTTCTCATAAAAATTACAAGCTCAGTTTTAAAACAACACTTAACCGATAGAAGTTTTGAAATTAATTATACAAGCAGCAATATATTTTCATCAGTTTAGCTTAACTAGTAAGAAATGTCTGCCTTGAGCACTGGACTCTTTTAACAACTATCTATATGGTATCAAACTGATAACAGCAACTCAAAAGATTAGATAGTAAACTTTATGGAATAGTGAGTTTATTTTCATCAAGGACGAACAACTTGAAATCAAGGGTGAGAATGGCTGTACAATGTGAAAGAAGTAACTGATGTTACTGAATCATACATAGAAATTACTGAATTGATGTATGTTCTGTTGTGCATACTCTTTACAACAACAAATAAACTATTAAAACACACAAAGACACAAAGTATGTGGACTCACATTTCCTGATTTTAAATATTATAGGTGGCATAGTGCCTAAGGCATTTGATTGCTAACCAAAGGCTGGCGGTTCAAATCCAACAGCCACTCCTCAGAAGTAAGACTAGGGAATCTACTTCTGTATAGATACCACCTCAGAAACCTAAGGAGTCGTTGCTATGAGTCGGATCTGACTCGACAGCAGTTAGGTTTTTCATTTTATTTTTTTTAAAAAAATATAGCTGCAGTAATCAAAATAGCCTTGTACTGGTGTAACAACAGACACCATAAAAAGAACTCAGAGTCCAGAAATAAACCCACACATCTGTGGTGACCTGAATTTTGACAAGGGTGCTAAGCCCACCCAATGGGGGAAAGAAGAGTTGCTTCAATAAATGATGTTGGGAAAATTGGAGTTCCATGTGTAGAAAAATGAAACAGGATTCTTGCCACACTGTACATAGAAACAAATTAGAAACCTAAACATGTGAACTAAAACCATTAAATTCTTAAGAGAAAAAGCAGGGCAATGATACCAGACTTAGCTTTCAACAGTTATATTACCTAATATAATAACAAAATTACAAACCACAGAAGAACTAAATGCAACATCATAAATTTAAAAATTTTTGTTCATCAAAAGACTTTAAAAAAAAAAAGACTTTACCATAAAAGTGAAAAGACAAGGTATTTACTGGAAGAGTATCTTTGGCAGACATATATGTGAAAAAAAACTAGTAATTAAAAAATACATAAAACTTTGACATCTTAACAGCAAAATGACAACCTAAAGATAAAAGGAACAAACGACTTGAATAGACATTTTACAGCACATTCAAATGGTCATGAAAAGATGAAAAAACATGAAAAGATGTTGGACGTCATCAGCTATCAGAGATATAAATCAAAACCATAGTGAGATACCATCTTTTTCCCACTACGACAGTTAAGACTAAAACAAACAAACAAACAAACAAAAAACAGAAAATAAATATGATGACAAGGTGGTGAAGAACTGCAACCCTTACATACACTGGTGGTGGTAATGCAAAAAGTGCAGGTGTTGTGGAAAATTGTGGTGGTTCCTCAAAAAAAGAACTACCACATGACCAGCAGTTCTATTCCTAAGTATATACCCAAAAGACTTGAAAGGAGAGACTCAAACAGAGACTTGTACACCAATGTCCACTGCATCACTATTCACAATAATCTAAATGCCAATCAACAGATGAATGAATAAACAAAATGCAGTACATACATACAATGGAATAATATACTCAGTCAGAAGGAGAAATGAAGTCTTGATACATACTACAACATGGACGGAACAGCAAGATATTATGCTGAATGAAGTAAGTCAATCACAAAAGGATAAATGTTTCATGATCTCACCATATATAAAAGACAAGAAAAGGCAAAAATCCATGCAGACCAAAGTTTACGAGTGGTTACCAAAGGTGGGAGGGATGGAGAAAAAGGGGGTAAACGGTGATAGCAATAACTTGTTGATTAAGGAAAGGGTTGCAAAACTATTAGGCCAAACCAAACTCACTGTCACAGAGTCAATCCTGACTCATAGCGACCTGTCCTTCGGTTTCCAGACCCTTTCTTGGGTTTCCAAGGCGGTATCACTACAGAAGTAGATTGCCCAACCTTCCTTCCAAGGAGTGTCTGGTGGGTTTGAACAACCGGCCTTCTGGTCAGCAGTCAAATGCCTTAGGCACTACGTCACAAGAGCTCCTAAAAGTATTATAACTGCTCTCTGGTGGAACTACTGAAACTATGGCCCCTAGCTGCCCTTCAGGTATGGAACTGAACCCACACCTGTGGCTTCCAGCCAAACAAAAGACAGGCATATGAGTTGAACATTTACCTGAGGAAGATACACTCCTTTGTAGAGAACAATCATGGGGGAAAGAAGGGCTGTTTATGCACAGGGAGACAGCTCGGGGGGCAGGAGTGCACGGAAGGATGGACACAGGGAAGAGGTAGCTATCAGGAGGATTGGGAGGGGAGCTGTTGCATTGGGGTAAATTGTAGTCAATGTCATAAGACAAAGTATATGTGAACTGCTGTATGGAATGTGAATTTGCTCTGTAAACTTTCACCCACATCACAATTAAAAAAAAAAAAGAAAGAAAAAGTATTATAACTGCTGTTGTAAACTACATACCTATAAAAGGTGTAATTCGCAAAAGTTCTGTAATGGATGTATTTACTACAAAAAAAGAGTACCTGGCAAGGCTCTTTATATACAACCAA